GGGGGTGCAAGATTCAAATCTTGCCTTGGACACTCGTGACATCAGCTAGTCCATTTACGTTTTTTTTTTTAATTATATACAATTGTTTGCTTGCCATGACTCTTTAATTTTGGAATTAAAGTATGTTCTTATTATAATTTAAAAAATATTTTAATTATTTATTTAATTTTATTCTTTAAGTTTCCTTTAAATTATTGTACAATTTCTGTATCATTTATGCTCTTAAATTATGTATTTTTCATAAATAAACATCTCGTTAATTAAATTCCTTTTTCTATTTAGTTCCTTAATCAAAAATTTTATTGTAATTTTAAAGCTTTCTGGTTCTAAAAATAAAAATGCATAAACTATAAAATTTGTAGTTAACAGCAACACCGAATACACCAATGTATAATGTTGATTGCCTAAATTTACAAAAGCCGTCTATTGGTGAATAGCTTAATTATTGTTTTAGCTATTCGCTAATAGATGGTTGGTGTAATTATAGGCAACCGATATTACATTTTGGTGTATTGAGTGTTGCCTTTTAAACGGCTTAAGATAGAATAAATGAGCTGAAAAGAGCACTCTGATCCATCTAGGCTGCTCTGTACTTGTGTACATTATGGTAATAATTCAACTATTAGTAACTGTGCTTTCTTTTATATGCACACAAATTTTCATCAAGATCAGAGCAAACATAATAATTTTCCATTTTGCCGTTATTTCTAAAATACTAAAAGTTTCGATAAAAGTTGTGCAATTTTACAATTTCGTGTATATAATTTTTTTATCAGGATAACAGAAGAGCGATGAGGTATTCTAAAAATGGCGGGAAATTAAGTTCCCTAGTCAAGTTACTGTAAAATTTAGGGTAACGCAAAACTAGCTTCCCTAATCAAATAGTCATTGCCATTCAGGGTAACGCAAAATCGACGGATTTTTAAATTTGAATAACTTTGAAACGGCTTAATATAGAGAAAAACGGCATAGAGCTTTCTATTATATCTATCCAGCTCTACGTTTGCGTTACTTTATAGAATATTCTGGTAATAGCTAACTCAGGAAAACGAAAAAAAGTATTAACCCTTCGAGATAGAAAGCAACTGAGTTCGCCCCGTAATTTACCTTGCTGTCTTTCGTATGTAGCCAAATTTGCATTGAAATTAGAGACAAAAAAAAATTTTGTCAAAAAATTTTGAAGGCTATCCCTTTCCTTTTTTTTTGGGAAAATAAAAGTTTAAAAAAATTTACGTACGTATAGATTAGAACGTCAGGATCTCAAAAAGATACTCTGTTCCCCTCTAACAAGACTAATTAAAAAGTTGGAGCTTATTTCTTAAAAAGTATCCAACATAGAGAGACGCAGACACCAGCAAGACATTCTAAATCGTTTACTGTAACATAGTGCCGAATTTCATGAAGATCAGAGGAAAAATAACATTTTTTCAAACTTACTCGGTTTCCGTTTCAAACTACTAAAAGTTGCAATTTCGTTGACAAAATTTTGGTATCAGGATAGCAGAAGAACGAGGAGATATTTAAGTTCCTCAATCAAATTACTATAAAATTCAGGGTAACGCAAAATTAGGTTTCTTCATCAAATTGTCATTGCCATTCAGGGTAACGCAAAATAGACTGATTTAAAAACTTGAATATCTCCTAAACGGCTTAGGATAGAGACGAACGACAAAGAGCACTTTAATCTATCTGTTTGACTCTACGTTTTGAGCAAGTTTAGAGAATGATTCGATTATTAATAACTGAGGAAAATTAAAAAAAAATAAAACCCTTGTCAATAAGAAGCAACTGAATCCACTCCTTAATTTGCATTGTTCTCTTTGATATGTAGCCAAATTTTCATTGAAATCGGAGACAAAAAAATTTTTTCTCAAAAAATTTGGAAGGCTATACCCTTTCCTTTTTTTTGGGAAGATAAAAGTTTAAAAAAATTTACGTACGTATAGAATGGAACGTCAGGATCTCAAAAAGATACTCTGTTCCCCTCTAACAAGACTAATTAAAAAGTTGGAGCTTATTTCTTAAAAAGTATCCAACATAGAGAGACGCAGACACCAGCAAGACATTCTAAATCGTTTACTGTAACATAGTGCCGAATTTCATGAAGATCAGAGCAGAAATAACATTTTTTTAAACTTACTCGGTTTCCGTTTCAAACTACTAAAAGTTGCAATTTCGTCGACAAAATTTTGGTATCAGGATAGCAGAAGAACGAGGATATATTTAAGTTCCTCAATCAAATAACTATAAAATTCAGGGTAACGCAAAATTAGGTTTCTTCATCAAATTGTCATTGCCACTCAGGGTAACGCAAAATCGACGGATATATAAACTTAATTATCTCTTAAACGGCTTAGGATAGAGACGCACTACAAAGAGCACTCTATTATATCCGTTCGGCTCTACGTTTTGAGCATGTTTAGAGAATGATTCGATTATTAATAACTGAGGAAAATTAAAAAAAAATAAAACCCTTATCAATAAGAAGCAACTGAATCCAGTCCTTAATTTGCATTGTTCTCTTTGATATGTAGCCAAATTTTCATTGAAATCGGAGACAAAAAAAATTTTTCTCAAATAATTTGGAAGGCTATACCCTTTCCTTTTTTTTGGGAAGATAAAAGTTTAAAAAAATTTACGTACGTATAGAATGGAACGTCAGGATCTCAAAAAGATACTCTGTTCCCCTCTAACAAGACTAATTAAAAAGTTGGAGCTTATTTCTTAAAAAGTATCCAACATAGAGAGACGCAGACACGAGCAAGACATTCTAAATCGTTTACTGTAACATAGTGCCGAATTTCATGAAGATCAGAGCAGAAATAACATTTTTTCATACTTACTCGGTTTCCGTTTCAAACTACTAAAAGTTGCAATTTCGTCGACAAAATTTTGGTATCAGGATAGCAGAAGAACGAGGAGATATTTAAGTTCCTCAATCAAATAACTATAAAATTCAGGGTAACGCAAAATTAGGTTTCTTCATCAAATTGTCATTGCCATTCAGGGTAACGCAAAATCGACGGATTTAAAAACTTGAATATCTCCTAAACGGCTTAGGATAGAGACGAACGACAAAGAGCACTTTAATCTATCTGTTTGACTCTACGTTTTGAGCATGTTTAGAGAATGATTCGATTATTAATAATTGAGGAAAATTAAAAAAAAATAAAACCCTTGTCAATAAGAAGCAACTGAATCCACTCCTTAATTTGCATTGTTCTCTTTGATATGTAGCCAAATTTTCATTGAAATCGGAGACAAAAAAATTTTTTCTCAAAAAATTTGGAAGGCTATACCCTTTCCTTTTTTTTGGGAAGATAAAAGTTTAAAAAAATTTACGTACGTATAGAATGGAACGTCAGGATCTCAAAAAGATACTCTGTTCCTCTCTAACAAGACTAATTAAAAAGTTGGAGCTCATTTCTTAAAAAGTATCCAACATAGAGAGACGCAGACACCAGCAAGACATTCTAAATCGTTTACTGTAACATAGTGCCGAATTTCATGAAGATCAGAGCAGAAATAACATTTTTTCATACTTACTCGGTTTCCGTTTCAAACTACTAAAAGTTGCAATTTCGTTGACAAAATTTTGGTATCAGGATAGCAGAAGAACGAGGAGATAAGTTCCTCAATGAAATTACTATAAAATTCAGGGTAACGCAAAATTAAGTTTCTTTATCAAATTGTCATTGCCATTCAGGGTAACGCGAAATCGACGGATATATAAACTTAATTATCTCTTAAACGGCTTAGGATAGAGACGCACTACAAAGAGCACTCTATTATATCCGTTCGGCTCTACGTTTTGAGCATGTTTAGAGAATGATTCGATTATTAATAACTGAGGAAAATTAAAAAAAAAATAAAACCCTTGTCAATAAGAAGCAACTGAATCCACTCCTTAATTTGCATTGTTCTCTTTGATATGTAGCCAAATTTTCATTGAAATCGGAGACAAAAAAATGTTTTCTCAAAAAATTTGCTCTTTTTTGGAAAAATTTAAGTTTACAAAAAATGGCATACGTATAGAATGGAACGTCTAGATCTCAAAAAAAAATTCTGTTCTCTTCTACCACGACTACCTTAAAAGTTGAGGCTCATTTCTCAAAAAACATCCAAGCCAAAGAGAAGCAGACACCAGCCAGACATTTTAAATCGTTTACTGTAACTCTGTGCCAAATTTCATGAAGATCGGAGCAGAAATAACATTTTTTCATTTCTCCTCGCTCTTCTGTTATGATACAAGAAGCAGAGTACCAAAAGTTGCAATCTCGTATATAAAATTTTGGTATCAGGGAGCGAGAAGGTATTTTAAAAATTGCTGGAAAATTAGGTTACCTTATCAAGTTACCTGTTTAATTTAGGGTAGCGCAAAATTCATTTCCATACCCTTTCGCTCTCCTGTTATCCTGATAGTAAAATTCGAGTACCGTAAGTTGCAATCTCATGTATAAAATTTTAGTATCAGGATAACAAGGAGCGAGGTGTTTATTTAATTAAGTATGGCGGAAAAAATCAGTTTTTTATTCAAGCTAGAATACAGATATCTAAAAAAAAAAAAACTTGTTACGACGGTTCGTGGTAGATTCCTCTAAAGTACCGCCGCCGCCGTACAATAAAGTAATTCGATGTATAGTTAGGGAGGAAAACGACATCACATCACTATCGAAGACATTTTCTGGCGATAATATGAACATAAAATGGCCGAGCCCTATCTATTTGTGGCACCATCTACAGACTGGATGTCTAAACAAGGAACATATTTATACAGAAATCTATTATCAACTACTGCTTGCTTTGTAAACTCGTCCAGAGATGGCGCGATCAGCACAAAAACTTTAAGGTATGGCAACCCTGTGATTTAATAGGGTCAGTGATATAGATAAGCATAAATTGATCATCCATATTTTCAAAATAAACATAAGCTTATGCAATGAAGTAAAAATGTAAGTAATTATTTTCTTTACTATATTCGAAGGCTGAAAATTGGCTATTAAACACATTTTTGCTAAATCGATTCTGATTAATGAGCACTTGTGATGCAATATTGCCGCTCGGAAAACGACCCTCTTTGAGCAGTCTATAGAATTATGTTATTGATCATGCCAAGAGACCCACAGTGTTGTCATATCTAAACTGTCAGTTTAGCAGAAAATGAGCATTTTGACACTTTATCTACGCTACGGTGGCTCCCTCTCATAATAACGCTGGATCAACAGTAATTAACACGTGCAGTAAAAAATTTGTTTTCGTGGTTATGTTCATGGAGGAAGGATAGTTATGTTGAATATTTAAATATATTTTTTCAGTATTGTGTTTAAATTTAGGTTTTAAAATGGAAACAAATGGGATGAAAACAGAAAATGGAGAAAGTGAGGAAGATGAAATTGCGTCGGATGTTGAAGATTGTGATGATGAAAATGAAAATAGTTTATTTGTTAAGTGTGAATGTTTAGTTGAAGAATCTGTAACCAATAATTATATTTTACACTTGGACACTACAAAGTAATACCATAACTATATAATTAATCTAACCGATATTAATTTGTGTTACTTTTAGAGAAAGTAATCCAAATATTGTTGTGGCTACACCGAAAAAGTCTGTATTGTATCATCTTCAAAATAGTCAGATCGCAAAAGTTGGAGAATGTCTCGATTATAAATCAAAATTAATCGGTTGTAAATTTAGCAACAAAGATCCAAATTTATTCTACACTGGCTCAAGTGATGGGTGTATAAAGCTCTTTGATTTAAGGACACCACTTAAACCTGCACTTGACTTTAGAGGTATTGTTTTAAAAAGCTCCATTAGTATAACAACCAGCTTACAGATAGTTCTTTTACAATATATACATATAAGATAATAACTACAGATGTTTTAAATATACTATATTTTCCAAAGTAGACAATCTTGTAATTTATAAAAAAAACTTTGAACATGTTTTCTAGTTCCAATGTTCTTTGCAAGCATCAATATTATCAGTATATATTATATTTCTGCATAAAGCAAAGTTTTTTTTTCTATACATTTTATATGTATACAACTGTGAAATAAATATGGTTAATCTAGTCACACACTCATTTGTTTGGGTTAAATACTTTCTATACAAAATTTGTTGGATTTTTTTAGATACCACAGTTGAAGATAACAAATTTAAAACATTTAATTGTTTTGATGTATCATCCAATGATAGATTGTTAACAGCAGGTACAGATACCATAGGTGGTGATGCTTTTATATTATTTTGGGATACCAGAAAACAAAATGTGTTAGGAGGATATTGGGAAAGTCACACTGATGATATAACTCAGGTATAAAAAACTTGTCAGCTTTGAAAAATCACATTCTGCAAAAAAAAACAATTTTCACTTTAAAGTTTTCTAAAAACTAGATGCAAATAAACCTGCACCTGCCATTCCTGTTAATGGGTGCTAGACTGAAAAATATTACTAACAATACTTACATTGAAAAAAGAATCCTATGTACAATTTCAGTAATAAGCTGAAAATAATCTTAATAATATTTCACACTCCATTGACACATTTAAAACAATAGTCATCTATGCAAATAAACCTGTACCTGCCAATCCTGTTAATGGGTGCTAGACTGAAAAATATTCCTAACAATACTTACATTGAAAAAAGAATCCTATTACAAAAAAAAAAATACTGAATTTCTGAAAATTAATATGTTGTGGATAAGTAGGTACTTTAAAATATATTTTTTTTTGTAGTATAAACAGAAGTTAATTCAGATTCAACACAAGAATAAAGCTTTAGGTGTCACATTTAATAATAATCATAAATAATTAATCCATCCAGCCACCTTCATAGAGAATTTGAACTTTTTAGGTAAAATTTCATCCAGAAGATATGAACAAATTAATATCTGGCGCTATAGATGGTTTAATAAATGTATACGACTTGACTAAAACGTCTGAGGATGATGCTCTGGTAGATACTCTCAACACAGAATCTTCTATAGATAAATTATCTTGCTTTTATAATGACAACAAGTGTTGTATTAGTTGTATTACCTACACTTCAGACTTACAACTATGGGATTTAGATGATGGAGAACCATATAGAAGAATAAGCAGATTGGACATTTCTGATTTAACAATAGTAAGTTATATATTCCAATAAAAGAACAAATCTTTGATCATCTTTGCCTGGGTTGAAGTTAATAGTTTTGCATTCGAATGTGCAATATTTGAAAGGATTTGGTATTGACACCTTTTCGATTCTTTTCCTAAAATTTGTAGGACTGTTTTCTGTTCACTCCAACACAAGCAAAGCAGGACCAAGGTTTTATCTTGCCAGAATTGTATTTAAAATCATAAATTTCAAATTCCACAAGAAGTAATTTTTTGATTCTGAGGCTATTATACATTTTATTTGATTACAAATGGTTTTTTTTGGTACAAGAGCTCAGCTGTTTGTTTTTTATTTTTAGAAAGATGTAAATGAACTTTATCTAGCAAATTGTCACCAAATGAGAGATGGTCTTTTAATATTAGCAGGGTCTTACTCTAAGAAGAAAAGCATTTTAAGAGGTTTAAAGGTGATGAAGAAAATTGTTGTCCCATCTCTCCAATTCACACCTAATAGACAGATGGTGAGAGATAGTTCATTCAATGAAAATGTAAGTATAATTATTTATATTTATTTTTTTCAAATTATTAATGAATGATATATTGGTAACTATTTTATAAAAAAAAGTTATTGAAATGTTTTATTAATTTTGTGGAGCAATGTATGCTATGAACTTCTTATTCAATCGATAAAAAAGTGAAATAATTTAGTTTAGCTTCTACCCTAACTCAAAAAATGTGAAGGTTTTTATTTAATTCTTTAAATCTATTAAAAGTTGTAAAATATATAGATATATTCAAAAAAATGTTTAAAAACCCAAATTTTTATCAAATCATTATTAATAAATTAATTTTTTGTTGCAGAATAATATTTTGTTCACTGTGGGAGAGAAAGGACTTTTAAATATTTGGAAGGTACCGAAACCGTTTTTATAAATAAATAATACACTTAGTAATAACATTTATAATTTTTATTTCTATCCCAACCCTTATAAATAATTTAAAAGTCAATTGAAAATAAAAAATATTCTACATATACATAAAAATAAAAAAAAAGTAAATATACATTTGGTGATGTTGGCTTAAAGATGGCTCGATTTATAACTAAATTTCTAGGGCAACTTGTGAGTAAAAAATAAAAACTATAGATTTTTCAATTATTATTTTTAATGTTGACAAAGTGCTGAATGCAATGATTATAAAATAATAATTTCTGCCAACATTATCAATTAATAATAAAACAAATCATTAATTCTTAATATGACTTGTTGACTGTCAATTACTTTTGATAAACGTTAATGGAAACATTTTCGAAAATAATTTATAATTCAGTGACCGCCAACACGTCAATATTTCCAAAAACTAAACTTAAAATATATTCAAATAATGGCCATGAAACAAACCTAAGGTAACAATAATACATGTAGACGTTATAAATTTTCTCTAATTTAATAAATAGAATTTTACCAACTCCTACAAGATAAAAAAGAATCTTTTCGCGTATATCTTGTATCTTCGAGGGCGAGTCATGGATATAAAAATAATTAAATCTACGCTTAAAATAGCTAAAGAGATCCACAAATAACACAAAAAAGTAGTAGTTACTGAAAAATCCCTAGGATTTATATAGCACAATAAATTTATTGTATGTAAACTTTAAAACAATGTGTAAAAATATCTTACATAATTTTGGTGTACTTAAAATGTTTATTTTGAGAACATTATCAACCTAAAAAAGAATAAGATTGATTATCAGTTTAGCGTTAAATGCTAGGCAACTAAGTTGAAGCAATTGGTCGCCATTTTTAACAAAACCATACTTTGAATTATTAGACAACCTATTTACAATGAGACCACTATTTCTTACAACTTAGTGAAATTTGAGTGCAATCTTTTTGAGGAAATCAAGATTATATAAAATTAACACAACAATTTTAGCACAATCTATGTTGGCCTTATCTGTGATATTTTGTGCAATTTTCGTGTGATATTCGCGATTTTTGTGCATTTATATTTATTAAAATTAGGCTTGTTATCTTAAATATTAAGTTAGCACAACTCTGTTATTTATTATGTGATTTCAATCAAATATGTTTTATACAAATTATGTGTAAAATCGAGTGTAAAATACACATGGTTAACTAGTTTTCGACTATTTTTTTTTTAACAAATTACAGGTGAAAATACGTTTTTTGTTATTTAAACAATTACATAAATATCTACGAATTCTAATTTTTTTTTAAAAACCTACCTTTTAGCAAATATATTGAATTTATTTTATTTATTGCAAAATGACATCTCATTTTCTGTAATCATTAACAAGTATTAGAAATTAAAAATTTAAAAAAACCGACTTCAAAAACGTGCAGATGCCATCACCACATCTTAACCAAATTTATATGGGACCACCCCTGAGATACCCCCTTACTAACAAAAAAAAAAGAATCATATAAATCGGACAAGATGGTAAAGCATTATCGCTAAACATATGTAAAAAATGAAGAGTTTGAGGATTTTCTCATGGGCCCAATTATTAGATTTTGACCAAATTTATATGGGACCACCCCTGAAGTACCCCCTTTCTAACAAAAAAAGAATCATTGAAATCGGACACCTTGTTAAAGAATTATCGCAGAACATACATAAAAAAAATATTGCGACGAATTGAGAACCTCCTCCTTTTTTGAAGTCGGTTAAAAAAGTCATTAATAAATAATGACACTTTGAAGATGACTTCGACCGAAATGCTTGGAAACTGTTTAAAAAATAATTGGGATCAAATATAATTTGCATAAAAAAAACGGACAAAGTTAGTTTCATTTTAAATAATAATTAAAATTTTACTTGCATACACCGAGAAAAATGTTTTGACGTTAATATACATGAATTTATATAGATCAAGGGCGGTTCCAGGCAGAATTTTTCGAGGAGACCGTTAAGGTACGTTTACATTTGACATGTATTGCATGATATTTATGTCTTGACAGTTGTTTAGTCCAGTGTAAACACTCAAAAATAAATCTCCGAGAGAAATTTTTGTGTGTTTACACTGGACTAAACAACTGTCAGACATAAATCTGATGCAATAAATGTCAGATGTAAACGTACCATTAGACCTTCTAGCTCTACACTCAAAATTGGACATGTCAAATCGTCAGTTTTATAGTAGTGATACTTTTTAAAATGTTAGAACCTTAAAGAAAAAGCCCTTTATTAGCAAAACTTAAAAGCTTTTATATGGTAGTGTACTTCTTTTCTTTCCGCTAAGTCTATCTAGTCCATGATGATATTTTTGTAATAAATTTTGTCTGATATTTCAATATATAGTCTAGAGAAGGAGTGCAGTAATTTAATTTGCAAAACCTAGGACAGGTTCAAGAGATTTTATTTATACCTCATCCTTCAATGCTTATTTGTAGTTAAAATGAAGATTTGAATACATTTGATCGGCCTAATAAAAGTTTTCGTTTAGATTTAATCATGTTTTCATGGTTTTCACTGTAATAAACCTTTTCTTTTGACAGGTAAGTCACTTTATTTATTTATTATCCTATGTATTTTAATTTATTCGGAATTTTGTATATATTATAATTTTAGTTATATAAGAATAGCGAGTGCATTATCCTTAGAAGAAGAAAATATCGTACTTAATGTATTTAATAATCTTCGAAGACTGTTTCACTTTTTGTGGATGAAATAGCCACTAAATGCGAGACATATACTGGAGTATCTAAGTTGGACAGTGTACAGCGTTATCAAATGTAACATAATTATGGAATTGTAACATAATTTTTCCTTAAAATGACATTAAACGATGTGTAACATATTTTTTTTAGTCTAGGAATTTTTTAACTTCGCAGGTTTTATTCTTACTGTACGAAATCAATTTAACAAACAAATTAAAATTATTTTATTTAATCAGTACTGACTCCTCTTGGCAATTAAAAAAAGCTACAAGTAAAAGTATCATCTACATAAATATTACCGTATTTAGAAAACGGTCTCTTGCTTCACGGAGCGGGGAATCCCCCGACTACACGGGGGTTCCCTAGAACTGTAAATCCGGAAAACATTGAACTTATGCAAGAAATTGATAATCAGTCAGAATTAAATGGAACAATAAATAATTAAATATTAATTGAGAAATACTGGTGACTTATCTAATAATTTAATGTTTAAAGAATTGTACAGTGGTACTGTTAGTTCACTATTAATTATTCATTTTGATACTAAATAATTCTGGTATAGATTTAGGTTTTTGTGTTATTCTTTGTTATTTGATTTTTATGCGATTATAAATAAATTAAAATAAGCATGACGTGTTTTTTACCAAAGCACCAAAATTTCAACATAATTTTTAAGAAAAATCGATAATTTTGGCAGTACTGCATAATAATTTCTTCATCGGCTGGCAGTGTATAACATTATTAAAGAAGATACAGTCATTGGAAAAGTTTCACATCCTCACATCTATCTAACATCCGAAAAAGTCCCCAGGAAGAAACAAGATCTTTGTTGAAACTTGGGTAAAGAATATAATAAGGCAAATGGTACATTCTTTTTTCTTTCGAAATGAAATGACTACACTTAAAAAAATTTCACTCATAATTAGAAAATAGCCTTCCAAATATATCATATTTTCATGTGCAAAAAATATTACATTAATTAAATTTTCGTTACAAAAAACTTGACAGAAACAACTTTTTGACATGATTATTTAAGGAAAATAGCGGACGCAAGGAATCAGTATAAACAGGTATTTTATTTAAATGAAGCATTGGTTAATACTGGACATACAGTAACAAAAATTTGGCAAGATACCTCCATCAAAACTAAAAACAAGCCTTTATGGAAGGGTTCTCTTGTGGATTAAAAATCTAATAGAAAAAGAAAGTCCTTTAATAATTATCCACATTAAAAACACCGATGGATTTATGCCAGATGTATTATTAATGTTCAAAGTCAAAGAAAACAAAAGACTACCATGAAGAAATGGGTGGCCCTATGTTTGAAAATTGGTTGATCATGTTAAAAAGGTGCAAAATTCATTTTAGAAAGTGGATATAGCAATGGAAAACTTAATAGACCCTACAATAATAAACCTCAGAAAAGACTGATAATGATACCAGTAGTTATAGTGAAGACAATGACTTTTAAAGATAGTTCTTGAACTTAATTTTTTTTTTAAATCTTCAATTTTAGGCACTGAAGTATTACTTTTATTGCCAAGAGATTAAAAAGTTTAATCATCCCATTAACAACATAAAATCCAATAAATAACAAGGAGTTATTGGTTAAATTTAATTCATTCAATGTTAAAGTACAACAATTTTGTCAGAAGCATAAGATTTATTTTTTGTAAATAACATATTTTTTTTAATTCGAAATTTAATCTACCATTTTATTTGCCATGTCCATATCAATATTATAGAAACCTATTTTGAAACATACGCCTATGAAATGTGACTTTATATCCCCACTTTTACTGCATTCCTCTTTTATTCAAACTATAGTTCTGTAAAAGTTTGGTTAGTGACAAATATATTTGATTGTAAGTCCATTTTTCGCCAATAAGTAGCTGGCCCCCTCCCTGGAGCTGCTTTTGATATACATATTGAATTCATCAATTTCTGTTTCAATAACATAATTTTCTTGAATCCATTTAATATTTTTTTCAGTGTACAAGTAAAAAAAAAATTATTTGTACAAAATTATGGTGTTCGCTTGATTTAAATCACATTGTAAATAATTGTTGAGCTATCATAAGATTCAAGATAGCATAAAATTTAAATAAAAAAAAAACTGACCAAATTGATTGTTTATTTCACACATATTTGTACACAAAAACGCACAAAATTATGGGTTCAATAAAAAATTAGGCTAGCTCAACTTTTTACTTGAAAAAAATATATAAATGCATTAAAATTGCACAAAATTATAGATAAGTTCCTCATAGGTTGTGCTAAAATTGCTGTGTTAACTTTACATAGCTGAAAATTCATTTGCAGGATAAAGATAGCATATATCATAAACTAAATTAGTTTTTTTTTTTTTTGAGATTTTTACGCTAACCGGGGGCGATACTGAGACGTGACATTATGTCCATACACGCAAGTGTGATAGAGTAACGACTGCTCGGCATTTATACTTTGATATTCTTCTATAGGCACTTAAGTCTAATGCAGACTATACCGGGAATCAAACACTGATGTCAGTCTTATTAGGTGCAAAACAAAATGCCATGAAACCAATTTTTGTATACTCTTAATTTTATACAGCTGCTATGGAAAAGGCGAACATACAGAAAACAGGTCTAATTGAATATAAGACACTAAATTGGTGCACAGCCCGCTGTTACTTATATTTCTGGTATGGTAATGAGACAAAAGTCAAGTCGACATGATTTTCGTATGTTCGTATTAGACAAAGCAGTTCTGTATGTGCCAAGAGTCAAAAATAAGGAGACACAAGAACTGGTTCTTTGTCTTCTGATACCCCATTGTTAACCTAATTTGACTGGTCTAAATGTGGTGGGGCTAGGCATAATCTGCTGTAGCCTTTTAAGTATGAACCACTCATCTCAGTAGCGCCCTCTAGTAACGATACACCTGTTAACCCTCATTTTGTTTAATTTATACTGGTCTTGTTAACAATCTTGAGTCTTTCAAAATCATTTTGGACACGAATTTAAATTTATTAAGGAAATATTCAAAATTTTGCAGATGAAACCAAAAATATTTGTTACTTATATTCGATTATTATTCTAAAAAAAATGTTATGAATGAAATATGAAAATGAAAAACGGTTTTTTTTGCCACAATTTTTGAGTAACAGCTATAAAGAAAGTGGTAATTAAATATAGTTTGAAATGGTGAATAAATACATATAATGTTTATATTTAATGAATGATATACATAATGTCCACGAAATCCCAAGACTCTCGTCAAATTTGTTCAAAATACGTTTTTTTTAAGGTAAAACGTGGCACAATCAATAAAAAAAAAAAGATTGTACCTCCTCAAATAAGATACTTATGGTCAAAATTAAATTAGTAACAATGTCGTTTTATTTTTCTAAATAATTTGAATAAATTTGACTACTGGTATGAGTTTTTATTATATACATCTTCAAATATGTTGATACCTACTGCAAAATATCACATTAAAAATGTCAAATTTTCAAGTTTATTTAAATATTCAACTTCATGGATTTCAGCCTTAAATGTTTATGGTTTCTGTTTTAATTTTATCATTTTTAATTTTTTTTGAAATCACATAAATAGTTCAACTTTTAAATATATCTATGTAAGTAAGAAGGATTTCTATTATAATAATAAAAAAATGTTAAGAGAATTTAAAAATAGCTCACCTGAAATTTATAGTTGTCGCTGCCAATAATCGATTACACTCTGGTGTATCGGGCAAAGGTAATTTTACAAAAGGAGTTTCGCAATTTTGTTCCGTAAATTCAAATTCGTGAATTCTTGGTTTTACATTTATATCACCGACGGGCCCTTTTAGTACTATGTAGCTCAAACTCAACGGTTTGACGGATTTTGACTTTAACATCAACTGAAAAAAGAAAAAAAATGTTTTTTAGAGGTCTCTATTCTCAAAGTTGAATGATTCTACAGTTCCACTGTGTGGCGTGAAATAGGGTAAAGTATCCAATAGTTGGCAGGTATCCAATTATTGGCAATACAAGACAAATATGCGATTTAAAGGCAGATTGTTAAGTAAAGCCCTAAACGAACTTCATTGTTTTAAGAAGATGTCTGAACAAAAGCCAGTTTGACATTCGTTAGTATGTCGAAGAAAATAGTGATTCAAAATTATGTGGTTTATGCTAAAAAGTCCCCGTTTTGTTAGTAAATGGTTAGTTTTAAATTAAGGAGTTGATGAAAGATGGAGATATTGTCACTTGATACAAATAACACCACTTTCGATGAAATTTTGACATTTGATTTTGAATTTTAATTATAGTATAGTTTAAAAACTATAGAAGCCTACCAATTTAAAATTAGGTTGTGTTGTGCAATATTTAGTTGAAAATTGTGAATTTATTCAGAGAAATATCTGAAATAGGTAGCCAAATAATTTGAAAATTCGGAAACAAATCTCAAAAATTCTCCTACGAATTATTCAGATCATACCCGAACCCCAAAGATGAAAACAAATACTTGGAGATTTGAAAAAGCCTATTACAACAGGGGATCGAACCCGGACATTCATGTTTGCTAGACATGTGCCCTAGCCCTAGACCATCCACGGCATTGACTGTAGAGATTCCAAAACAGAAATGTGATGTGCTAGTTCTGGCCAGACTACGTTCAGGCTCGATCTCTCATACATACCAATGTTTTGAAGATTTAAGAACGAGCTTGAACTCCGTCTGGCCAGAACTAGCACATGAAATTTATGTCTAGGAATCTGGACAGTCAATGTCGTGGATGGTCTAGAGTCTAGAGGAAAGGGCACATATATAGCAAACATGGATGTCCGAGTTCGATCCCCGGCTGCGACAGGCCTTTTTTCAAATCTCCAAGTATTTGTTTTAACCTTTGGGGTTCGGGGATGATCTTTTAATTGTCCAAATATTTTTACATACACAGGCATACGTGGTAAAGGAACTAAATATTTTAATATGGAAAGCTTATGAGATAAAAATAACCAAATATTTTACACGGGCAGGCTTAAGGGGTAAAGAGACTAAATATTTTTTTATAGACAAATTTAAGAGGTACAGAGCCTAAATAGGTTTACGTGAGCATGCAAAAGAATAATCTGTTATGATGGATAATCATCTAGTATAACAAGAAAACATACAAATTAAAAAAAAAACTTACCTGATAGGACATATCTCTTTCAGAACTTTGTGTTGGATCCTTCTGGTTATTGTTTATTCTTGCTTTCACAACCCATTGATAATTAAATGCCGAAAATCTTGACGATTCATAAAATAAACGATGCACAAATTCGTCTGTACGATATGGTTTTAATTGTACATCTGAATCAAAACAATGAATAATTAGTATTTTAATACAAAGAGTATTGCAGAATTATAATTTCAAAAAAGATAATGTCTCAATAAAGAAATATTTTTTGGCAAAATATCGCATGGTACATTTTTCTTCAAATTATTTTATTTTACGAGATATATTTTTGGCAATTTTTGGAACATAATGGGTTGAAAAAAAAAAAAAACTGGGACTATATATATACGAAAATAGAAATATAAAAATTGAAGAATTGGTACAAGAAATATATTGGCTACAATAATATATGTATATCATTTTTTAATATGTATGTATACAAATATGACCGCTAGGAACATTGCAGTTAAATTAGAAATCAATATTATACAGCACCAAAGAATTTCTAAAATAATTTCGATTTTACAAGGTGCTTTATGACCACAGAACAGGTTTCAAGGTTATTTTTGTAAATGGAACACCTTGTATTTTTTTATTTGATTCTATCGTCAAAATTTGATTTTTGAAATAGAATGCGGGGCGTAGTCGGGTAATCGAAGATGTAATAGTTTTTTTTTTTAAAGATATACCAATTCAAAAAACTGCCATGAAAATTTAATTCACTTTAAATTTTCTGAACCTATAACGTTTACATCGCCAATTTTTTGAACCATATGCAAAATGTAAACCAATAAATATCCAATATATAAAATTTATTTGACTTTATTTGCATCTTAGTTAAAGGCCCTACATTATACCTTTTTAGATGAAAATAGAGCTGTGTGCATACCTAAACCAAACGAATGAATTATTTTTTAAAGAAAAACAAAGAAAACCTAATTTAAACCTATTTAAATCTACTAATTCAGCTGCTACGCTCCGAACTCCCACTCTGTACATAAAAAAATAGAACAGCGTTATGCAACTTGGTACATATTTGCGATTCTATAAAAAAACATTTACTAGTTTTACAATGGTAATTACGCATTAAACTAATGAGGTCATATTTTATAATATAGCAAATTCAATGCCTAGCTCCTAATACTAATGGAATGTTTACAAACATTAATTCCTATCATTAATTTGAACCAAGATTGCATTATTTGTTTATCATTTGATATTTTAATTCTATCGGGGTCAAGATGAAAATGTAGGAAGCAAAAAAAACAAGTGTTGTGTCTGGACGCTGATTTATCGACTACTAATCTTTATTTAAATTTAACCCAAATTCATTTGATTATTATTAGTCATGTTATGTAAATTTTATTTATAAAAAAAATTACTTTTCTCACTTTTTTTATTTGGTGTCATTGGCATTAAATAGTAAGGTTCTCATTTTTATTAATTCATCCACGACATATTTAGGAAAAAGTGAAATTTTAAGAAAGAGAAAAATAAATCTTTATTGGTGATAATCTCAAAAGCCATTCGGCCCGGCCTGTATTAAGAAATTTTTTTAAGTTTTGTTCTTGAAATAAATTTTTCTGCAAATCTTTAAATTTTGAATTGAAATAACATGACAAGCCACAACTTTAATTTATTGAGAAAAGACGAAATATGTTGTTATAAACCCATTTTATTCATAAGTAATGCTTTCCTTTTACCTTATATTAAGTTCAAGTCTAGTTATTGACGATCTAAGATAAATGTAATGTAAAATGTCAGATGTCAAAAGAGAGGAAGAAGGAAGGTTGTTCCTGTGTCTCTGATGTAGATGATAAAGAATGGTTGTCTCTGGAATTAATAATAATTAGAACGCTGTTTGCATATATTTATTGTCTTTATTAAATAAACGTTATATAAGTGATCTACTGCGTATTAATATATTGAACAACAATTACAACAAAACACGACCTCAAAGGTTAAAATAAACTTCTAAAACTTTGTTAAAGTACAATAACTTGATTTATCGGTATTTTTTTAGAGAATTTGCATTTGGTATTATTGCTTTTGTAACCTTATTTTTTATTACCGTGAAGTAAAAATGCCCTTTATTTTAAAAAGTGTGGCTTATGATGTTTTTACAATAAGCCCTTCAATTGGAAAATTGTTTACTAAATATAGAATTGTATATTTGTATTTAATGGCACAAATAAATTATAAATAATCTATATTTCCATGTATTATGTATAAAATACTAATATAATATTTAAACAAACAATAATACAGTTTTAGACATTTGTTTATTCTTTAACTTTAAACATAGCAAACATATGTTTAAAGAGATAAAATATCACAATAATACTGACCTATGATATTTGCATTTTTAATTTAAGACCGGTAAAATTTCAGCATTATCAAAACAACAGGAAATAAATTATCAGTACCTACCAAGTTACAATCGATTATTCTAAGATTATTTATTTTTATTTACTGATATCCCTTCAATTATTACTATTAAAATTATAGAAAATATATTAAGCGTTTAGCCTTAAAGACCTTTAGATAAAATAGATAACTCAAAGTGATATTTTACTTAACATGACTTTTATTTACAGTTAGTTCAATAATATTTCTTTTATCAAGAAATACAATAAACATGGGTGCAACAATCTTTGGTTTAAAAATAAAATAGAAAATTACATTATCATTTTTTAATATTCTGCAAACAAGTGGTTAAGATTGGGGATTATTTACTACTTTTTATATTCATAAGCAAAACAAAATTTTAAATATTGCATTATTATTGTGAATGTGTCACGTTCGTTTGATATTTTAAATTGTTTGATATAAAACATTTCATTATTTTTAAATCCATAGCCAATATTTAAAATAAAAATATATATTCAGGTATTGTTGAAATAATTGATTGGTTAAAATGTATACATAGTAACTTACCATTAAAAGTTATTTTATCATATCCCAGCAAGTCGAATATACCATCATAAAGTATGCGTTCTTCATTAATTTGATGATCTATGGATTTTAATGCTTCCATAACATCTGCTCCTGAACGATTAGGATGTACACATTCTTTTTCGTGTTCCGATCTTTCGTGTAACGGTCCCCTCCATGGACAACCTATGCGACTGTACTTACAACCTGAAATCCTACGAAAAGATCCAACTTTGTATATTTTTTGGAAACGATTTAGTTTGTAAGATTTACAGGGTGATACATTAGTGTGAAAAAATCCAATATATCCGTCTTTAATGTATTTTAAAGAACTATCTTAAAGAAATCTGTTTAAGTAATGACAGAAGTAAATTAACGAATACGAAAATATTGTAAAGGCCGCCAATATTTTTAAAGGCCGCCAATATTTTTAAAGGCCGTTAAATATAAAGGAATTGTTACAGAATAGACCCCTTTAAGTGGCCAATTCGCGGTCATAATTCCTTCCAGGTAGCCTGCCGAGTCTATTATAACGACAAATCGGTAAAGATATGCAGCTCCAAGGGTACAAAGTCGTCCAAATTCGTCACTTTTACAGGATATCGACCACTGAATCCGCAATAACTAAAGAAAAGCTTATGCCGCAAATAATTTCAGAAGGGCACAATATGATCTAAAAATGTTTAGAATTACGTATCGACATTTGACCATCACCAAAAATGATTCTAAAGGTTATTATTTGGGAAGACGAGACCGCGACAGGAGACAGCAGCAAGCGACGGCGTAAAGCAACCGAAAACGGTCTCTTTACGTCTGAACACATGTAATTAGCTTCAAGATTCCAGGGTAGCTATTCTTGAATTCGAGGGAGTAAAAAACGGGTTTTCCTCTTTATCTGCATAGCATAAAATTTGTTTTATTATTGTCTCATTCTTCCCTCAAAATTTATACTCCCTGAGATTCAAGAATAGGTACACAAAATGGTTGAAAATTCGAAAAACACAATTTTCAAATCTAATTTCTACTTTGAAAAAAATGGTCAATTGTTAGAAGGGCACAATAAAATGTTTCGACGTTTGACCACTGCCTAAAATATTTCTGAGCACCCCAATGAGGGTGAAAATTCTAAAAATAAAAGTGTGCCGATTGTGTACACCTAATTTTCTTGTCAATGGACACCTGAATAATGGATTTTTAAAAGTATTATTAACATCAAGGATAATAAGCATATAATAATTGATACGATTAATATCAACATTGTTTTTTAAATACTATGATGAATGTCAGTCTCGCCCTTTGTGAATCTTTATTTTGCTTCTGGCGATTGACAATTTTTTTCGAAATTCGATTTAGAAATTGAATTAGTCGAATTTTCACCCCTTGAAATTATTAGTGGAGATGGTCAAATGTCGAAACTTAATTTTAAATCATTTTGTATCTTTATTGTAACCATGTTGATATTAGATTTGGAATTTTTGTTTTTCGAATTTTCACCCCCTTTGGGATCTTTAGAATAATTGTAGGGGGTGGCCTCAAACAGCTGTTAACAGAAATACACCTTTTATTGTCAGGATAAGTTACACCTTTTCCCTACATGAATAACAACAACAAAAATATGGGTCAAATCTCCAGAATCGAATACTCAAAAATTTCTTTTGGCTGATAATTGAGATTTATTAGAAAACCAGACCGCTAGCCCGCATTTTTAATCCATTGTGTGTTAATAAACATATCGTAATTGCATTGGGTTGGGTATTGTTGTCTAACACACATGAATGAATCTGAATTAACAAGCATTATGTGTGCGCTATTAAAATAAAAATAACATTTTGTACCCACAGCCCAGTAGAGAAATAGCAGATATACAGGGTTGTCTATCTAGAAACTATTATCTTCAAAACGTCCTTAATATTCACTGGAATTTCTATGTCTAGATTTCTGAGTAGTGCGATAATTTTGAACAGCAAATTTGCTTTCCAATAATATATCGTATACAAACTTTTAATAAATAATCCAATCTTACCAAATTCGGCATTTTTTTTATTTTTAAATTAAACTTTCCTTTAAAATAGTGTTATAACATGATAATCAAATAAAAAAAAAAAACAAAATATATTGCTTCTATAACGCTATAAATATTATACAGTGTGTCTACTTAAGTTGGAACCATATGGAAAACATTTTCATTATTGATTCTAGGAAAAAAAGTTATTCTTGATAAAAAGTCCTACATGACCCAAAACTCAGTCATCAGATATCAAATTTTTCAAGCCGTATACGAGGTTTGTCAAAAAATATGAATTTTGCTCAAAAGTAAAGTACGTTTATTTTTGACAAAATCGAAAATTTTTATTAATTCTTCACAAACATCAAGAAAAGGAAAGCGTATCATGTTTATAGTAGAGAAGACAGAGAAAAAATTATGGATTACCGTAATTAGGTGGATCAATCTAGAAAAAATCTGATTTTTCAGATAGATCGGTGTAATTGCATATTTGAATGTATTTTCAATTCTAATCAACTTTTCTTAATGAAAATTTTCGATTTTGTCAAAAATAAACGTACTTTACTCTTGAGCAAAATGAATATTTTTTGACAAACCTCGTATACGGCTTACAAAATTTGATATCTGATGACTGTATTTTAAGTTTTGGGTCATGCAGGACTTTTTATCAAGAATAACTTTTTTTCCTAAAATCAATAATTGTTTTTTCCATATGGTTCCAACTTAAGTAGACACACTGTATATGTAAATTTCCAATCTTCTCCTGTATACAAGATTTTTTTAGAATAAAGAAAACACGGTCTTAAAATAGAGATCAAGTACAAATTGAAAAAATAATTCCTAAATAGATTGAGAAATTAAAATATCTAAATAGTCTTAGAGGTACAACATAAAAGTTGTGAACGTAGAAAACACAGATATTTATAAATTCTTTAAAAAGTCAAAAATACATTTTTCTAACTTGTCCCTATGAAATAAAGGAGATTATTTTTGAACTCCCAAAGTGAAAATAAATTGTACTCGTTCCGTATTTATTCTTGCATAATATAAGTCCATAGTTTTTATCTGCAATGAATTTATTGATCAAATTTTTGTCACATGATAAATTTAAAATATTTTAAAGCCGATTCTGTTTAGTTTTTAACGCGTAATGAATATGTGCGTTAACAAATTTCAATGCTACGTATGGAATCAATTTAATGTGAAAGAATAGCCATTCTAGATGTTCTGGCTAATACAAGAGAATAATATATAGAAACATGCCTACCAAAAGCAGATCCTCCCTAGGCAGTTTGTTTATGGTTAAAACACCTACATATAGGGGCCGATTACAATAAGAACATAGCTGCGTCATCATTTAGCGGAACAAACGTTGGCAATCGCCGCCTACTGGGTTTGATGGCCTGTTGTTATTGCTATAGGAATTATTTTTTTAAACCAAACAACTTAAGTCGCAGAAAAGAGCAATAAGGCTATTAGCTAGTCTGGGTTTTCGTGAACCATGTCAACCGTTATTTAAAAAACTTCATATAATGCCCCTCTGCCAACATTATATCTGTTTGCTGTTTTGACAAAAATGTACAGAGTAACAGTTTAACAAGACAATCCGATTTGCACAATTATAAAACTAGACAGGCAGACAATATTCGAACTAATGGTTTTCGTTTAACCAAGTCAAAGAAAAATTCGCTAGACTATAGCCTATACAATCTATTACCCCAATATCTCAAAGAGCTTGGCACTAATCAATCAGTTGAAAAAGCAATTAAAAGCACTTACAGCTTCAATGAAGTATATTTTATTTGAAATTTTAACCTCTACCAATTACACACTAAAAATTTATTAATATACACACCTATTTTTTATGTTTATGTGTTTTTAAGTTTTACTATTTATATGAATGTTTTTTTTTGTGTATCTATTATGTTTTTAAATTTCGATTTTACTCAGACTTGCTACAAACATTGTAAATTAATGTAATATGTAGTTAAATAAATAAATCTAAATCTTTTATTAAAATAAAGAAAAACATTTCAAAACCATGTGTTACAATAATCATGATGTAAGAATATGACAATAATATTCTTTATTTAATGATAGTTATACCTAGATAGAGCTCGATTTTTTTGTGAAGAGTACACTTCGTCATAATGTGCAGAAATCAATTTGAGTTTTTAGGCGTGGTCAGACAGATTTAAACGTGATCGAAGCCGCCTGCCGCTCATCACCGCTCATACAAGTTGAATTCAGTAGCGTAGTGTTACTTATTTGTACTTGTTGCATTTATTTAGCTATTTTGAGTTTCTTGAGTTTTGTGCTTCGATTTGTGTGTATATAAACTTTAATTTGTTATATTTTTTGAATTCCTAATTAATTTTGTGTATATTTTGGTAAGTACATTTACAAAACTATAAATATTAATCTCAGAAGGAACCGAACATCCTGAAATATTTTAAATACCTTATAAAACCGGATTTTTTGTAAATCATATTTTTCTTATCTTAAGAGGTATTGCTGCGGTAATGAGATAAAATTCGTAGGTTTTATATATGTTATCACCAAGTTCTTAATATATTTAAGGTATTGTACGTGATATTTTTTTTGTTGCTATATAGCAACTTAAACTACAGTTCTGTCAACAAAAAAGTATTACCACAACGCAGAAAAAAAAAATAAAAAAAGTCTGAGTATGATCAGTGTTTTAAGGATTCGGTGAACATATTATTATTTCTTGATGAAAAAACTGAAACTAAAATTAAACACTCGGATAAAACAAAAAAAATATTTTTCAATACAAATTGTAACGGAAAGATTTCTCTAGAGAATTCTTAAAAGAAAATTCTAATCGAATAAAAAATAAAAGCAGAATTCTTAAAACAGTGATCATACCCTGAAAAAATGTTTATACATTATAGATGATAAATTCTTTTTTACTTTTTTTTTCAGGGAAAAAGACAAGAGATTATCATGATGAAATGAACTGGAATAATTTTTCCCAATGGGTTAGAAGGCAGTTACTACCAAATCTTCCTCCAAGGTCTGTACTTGTAATCGATAATGCAAGTTATCATAATGTAAAATCTGAAAAATCGATTAAATCGATTACAACGCAGACCAAAAAAGAAGATTTAATTAACTGGCTCGTTAAAAACAATATAAAACATGATGCTAAAATGACCAAACCAGAACTGTACACATTAATAAAAGTTCACTGACCTCCACCGAAATTTCTTTTAGACGATCTTCTCGAAGAACATGGACACACAGTTCTACGATTACCTCCATATCATCCCGAATTAAATCCCATAGAAAAAATATGGGCCACAGTAAAAAATTGGGTGGGTCAACATAACACAACATTCAAGTTGGATAATGTTGAAAAGTTGGCAAGAGAAAAATTCCGAAGCAAAACGCCGGAGGAATGGGCAAACGTGGTGGACCATTCCGCGAAATATGAGGATGCATATATTCAAACAGAACACCTTATGGATGAATTTACAGATTCCCTCATATTTAGTGTAAACACGAGGTCATCCGATGAGTGGGAATCCGATATTTCCGACTTGGAAGATGATGAAAATGTTTAAGATTATACAAATTAAATTAAAATATATTATTTATTTAAACTTTTAGTTGTTTTATTAATTTAAAGTTCATCAGCAATTTAACTAACGAATAGTTAAAATTTAACATTAACTTATTAATATGTTCGATTTAAAATATTTTATTAATGTACACGCCACTGCTAAGATATCAGGTACCCCTACCACAGCAGATTTCAGCCCAGCGCCATCAACTAAACCTCCACAAAGTTATGACGTACTGTGCTCTTCACAAAAAAAAAATCGATCTCTAATATATTTTAAATTTGAAATAATGGTTATGACGTAGAGTGGTGTTCTTATTGTAATCAGACTCCAACAACATAAACACATATAGTGATAATAGATCGAGTTAAAGTGACGAAATTTCTTTAGGGGCAAAAAATTTGAATAGTTAACTGTTATTAATCCCGTCAAAATTTTATAATGGTTAATTAGATAATTGGCCGAGAATGACTCGCGTATGCCGCTATTACTAAAATAGGGGCGCGCTGCCAGATTAAAAATAGTATCATGCATGTCTATGAACTACGAACCTTTCTTCGCACTCCGATTCCTCATGTCGAACCAAGGAATTCCTCGGGAATTGCTTGTTACAAAATTGACATTCGGCTGGTAACTCGGATACGGCATTTTCGACGGCCAAATTTCGGGTGGCCGATGTTTTACTTATTTCCACGCGACAGCTGGGACACGTGGCCGTCTCGTCTCTGAGTCTAGCGTCGGCCAACACATGAATGAAGCATCCGGCACACATTAAGTGACCATTGCTGCACTGTAAGCGCGAACGCACCAAAAAAAGAAAAAAAATTAATTTTAATAAAGCACATTTTGGCTACATGTATCGCTACAATTTCCAATTTTGCTACAGTTTGGTTGACAAAACGTCCTGGAACCTACAATAAACTTTCTGTTATAAAAAAAATAGTTTTTGGGTACCTAAAACATTATTCTCCTCGTTTTTGTTGATGTCATCAGCATTAGTATTTCCTATATCATGAAATTAGGGTACATAATAAATGTGCTCCAAATAAATGTAGATATAAAGGATAAAAAGACAAAAATTTAAATTAAAACAATAATTTTCAATATCAAATTTCTTCAAAAAACAAACACTTTGATACGGCATCAACAACATAATAGTTAATGGTAAGAAAATGGTACTTATATGTTTTAATTTTTTTTTTAATTATATTGATGCATAAAAATCCTACTTGGACAAGCATTTCTAAAAAACGGTTTGAGATAATCAAAAATTATATAGGTTTTTGAAACAAATATTCTTTGGAAATCCCCAAATTTAAAAAAACTGTCTCTCCACAGGAAAGAGTTTTTTCACTGTTCAATAAATGTGTTTTCAGTTTGGGGAATTCAAATAGTATATTATGAACACCAAGGTACTGAAGTGGCACTTTTTATCCTGGGGCAAAAAGTTTCTGAAATACTTGAAAATTCAAAAATTATTATAATGGCTATAATTTTTTTATTTCTCAGTATAACTTTACTAAATTTGTGTCATAAGATACACCTATCGGCAAAAAAATCAGTTAAATGCCTTCTAAATTTTGCATCACTGTCCAAAAACTAAGACTAAAATTTTTTGTGATTGATTTTCGAGATATTCACACTTAAATGTGGATATTCTTCATTTTAATTAATTTTTTTAATTTTGTATTATGAATTTTTTATAAATTCCCAACAAGAATGCATGATTTATTAAAAAAAAAAACATCAAGAAATTCAAAAATATAGTCCAAATAGGTTTTTTGAAGAGTGGTGTAAAATTTAGAAGGGATGATCCCAGACAGCACACCAAATCGTTTGGATATCTACTGAACATCTCAATATCCACTGAATGTCCAGTCCATGGTGGATATCTATTTTATATCCATGAGATGTAATTTATAGACATGCAAATGTCCATAAATTATAGTAATTCCATCAGAAATTATTAAAAAATTACGCCATTATTGCTAATAGTACCATTTAGATATTTCAAATATTTTTTTTTAATTTATTCAATATCCAATGGATATCCACTAAATATGTCTAGGCGCGAACGCAAACCATGGTGGATATCCACTGGATGTAATTTATGGATATATATAATATGTACATAAAATATACATATTGATTTAATAATTGTTAAATTATTTAAATATTACGCCATGTGATAACTAAGAAAGTATGTAAGTATAGTTTATAGAAATTTAAAATTAGTAAGTTGTATTCAATATCTCACAGATATCCACTAGATAAATAATATTGGCAATTAAGGCGAGCGCAGGCGCGGATATTTCCTGCCCTCACAGGTACCATCGTCTAGGGATGCGCAAATTCATTAATTTTTTTTTAAAGTGGAACAATACTTATGTTTCAAAAAAATAATTAATGAAGCATTAAATACGACACCCTATAGACATATAATTTTCGATATCTTAAATATATCAAATAATGGATGTACACTGGATATGTTAAACATCTATAGGATATATCCATTGGTTAGATATAGACGGACATTTGGATATCTATGATATCCTGTGGATATATTGGATATCCACAAAAGATATTCTGTGGATATCTCTGGGATTTCATGTATTGTCTGGTAGATACCCATTAGATATTTTGCTGGATATTTAGGATATCTTCTATATCCTGGACATAGACGGACATTTGGATATCCATATTAGATCCATGGGATACTTATGATATCCTGTGGATATATTGGATATCCACAAAAGATATTCTGTGGATATCTCTGGGATTTGGTGTGTTGTCTGGGATGGTACTTACCCATAACGTACACCACTGGTAAAGTTTATTTAACTGATTTATTTTTGCTGATATGTGTATCTTATGACACGTTCGCTCAATGCAATTTTATAAAACAATCCAAAATTAAAAAATAAATTAAAGAATTTTTAAGTGTCAATATCTCAAAAACCAATCACTTTATGAGTTCCAACAAGAGTACATGATTTATTTAAAGGTGTCACTTATCCATGCCGTACGCCACTGGCAAGGTTTAATTAACTGATTGTTTTGCCGATAGGTGTATCTTATGACACCAAAAATGTTTACCGAATTTAGTAAAATTATACTCAGAAACTAAAAAATTATAGCCATTAATATTTTTTGAATTTCGGAAACCAATATGTTTCAATTGTCTTATTTTTAATCAGAGAATCTTCAATTGTTCTGTGTCCCATTCTTAATATTGTATTTTGAAATAGAAATAGAATTTATTCATCTTTGAGAATTATACACTATACAAAGACACTAGGTACATAATGTAAAATCCTATCAGACTAGTCAAAAACGTGTTAAGTAAAATACATTAAAAAATAAAATAAAATATATATAATAGACAATTCATGTTAAGATTAGTTTAAAAGTTCAAAAAATCTTCTATACTATAAAATACATTATTTACAAGAAAATCTTTAAGATGTTTTCTTAAATCATTACGACTAATTTGATGATAACCTGTAGTATCTTCTAATATGTTACTAAACTTATTGTAATCCCAATATATTTTGGTGAATGCTGGCTTATTTGTAGTCGTGAAAAAGGTTGATGGATGTTAAATTTTAATCTAGTATCATATGAGTACAGGTCTTTATTTTTCTTAAATATATGCTAAATATATCTTTTATGTATAAAATTAGTTGAAAAATAAAAAAGAGCGTTTTCTTGAAAAGTTGGTGGTGATATTGTTGGTGTCACCTTAAACATGGCTCTCAGAACCTTATTTTGAGATACAAAAGCTCTTTCAAAGTATGGTGAAGAACCCCAAAATATTAACTCATATTGTAGAGTTGAATGAACTAAACCAAAATAGCATAGTTTTAAAGTATCAAAAGATAGTGTATCCCTTAAATTTTTGATGATATAACAACAAGTACTTAATTTTGAAGTTACAATTTTTATACGAGCTTCCCAATTTAGTTTGAGATCTAATATTATTCCTAAAAATTTTATGTCATCAACGCTTTGAATAGTTTTTCCGTCAACGTGCAAGTAGGGTTCGTAATCTGGTAATATGTTTTTGGGTAGAAATTGCATGAAGTTTGTTTTTGTTACATTTAATGCCAGACCGTTATCTTTACAATACTGGTTAAACTCACGAGATGCCTCATTGCTACTTTGAGTGACCTGTTCAATTTGATCATCTGCCATTACAATATTGGTATCATCGGCATATTGAACTATTTGTTGAGAGCTTAAACAAAAATTACTTAAGTAAACTATAAAAAGAAGTGGGCCCAAAATTGAACCTTGGGGAACTCATATTGTACATGGAAGAGGATCAGATTTTAGACTATTTGTTACAATTACTTGAGTTCGATTTATTTGTACTGTATTTTTGGTTGTATGGAGTAAGTATGTTTAAAAGTAATTTTTGTCCCTAGGGAGTAAAAGTGACATTAAGTATATTGTACTTTAACTCTCTATAAGGATTAAATGTAAATCTGTAAACCCTAGAGATGGAAAGTGCCATTTTAGTTCCTGAAAATAGGTATACTTTTAGTCCCTAAAGTGCATAAAATGGTTTTTAATATTTTGTAGGGTTAATTTTGAAAAAAAAATTAGAGATTTCCAAAGATTAATGGGTAATAACAGTTATAACAAATATTTCTACAAAAAAATTGCAATATGTCTGTGTTATATTGTTATTATGCCACTTTATGGGATTCATTTTTATAAATTACAGTATTTTAGATTTGATAAATAATTAGCTATCAAAAAATATATAGCATTTAAAGAAATTAAGTTGGAGATATATTCTAAGGGTTAGTTTTTGATATAATTCATTGTATAAAGTGACATTTACTATAGAAGTTCCTATCTCTAACCATTTTTGAGTAAATGTCCAAATATATACATACACCCAGCTTTAGAAAAAAACAGCCGTATGCATAGTCGATCGCCAGCGACTCGCCTGGCGAAAGCCCAAAAAGCTGGCGACTCGCCGGAGATTGTCACCGGAATGTCATTTCACGCAAGTTTTTATGTTCTTTTATAGGGAAAAATTTGATATTCGTTCATTATTTTTTGAGTTTTAAGAAATGAATCATGAATAAAATGCGAGAGATACCGGTGATAATCCCTATAAAAGAAAATAAAAACTCGGTGACAATCTCCGGCGAGACGCCACCTTTTTGGGCTTTCGCCGGCGGATCGCCAGCGAATCGCTGGCGAAACGCCGGAATGAATCTCTGGCGAGTCGCTGGCGATCGACTATGCATACGGCTGTAAAATTATAAGAATAAGGGTGGTTTTTAAAAATGTACACTTAGTATAATATAGGATATTCCTTATAAATTACCTAAATATGTATACTGGGTGATAATTTAAAAACGAACAGCATTTAATATTTCTTTAACTGACAACACTATGAAAATTTGGCAAAACATATCATTTTATATATCAAAGGAGACAACTGTTGAGGTATTTGTTGTTATATTACATTCAACCCCCTCAACCCCAGAGCAACTACCCCTAAAATTTTAAATAGCAACCCCATTTTTCAATTTTTTTTTCACTAATGTATGGAATGTATTTAATTTATTAAATAAAAAGTTTTAATGGGGTTCCACCATAACACCCACTTCAAAAAAAGTATGATGATGAAGTTAATGACATACTGAAGATTAAGTAGTTCGAAAAAAAAAATTCATGTAAACTCATCTAAAATTACATAAGAATTTCAAAAAATGGTTATTTAAAATTATAGGAGTATGTGCCCTGGGGGTGAGGGGGTTGAATGTAGATTTAGATTAGATATGAAAGGAGTTGGACAATATTTGTTAAATATAATACAACAAATGTCCCACTCGATATGTAAAGTGACATGTTTTGCCAAATTTTCATAGTGTCATCAGTTAAAGAAATATTAACTGCTGTTCATTTTCAAATTGTCACCCAGTATTATTTTAGCTAAAAAACAAATAATGGAATGTCATATAGTTAAATGTTTTGAGATAACTTTTTAATTTATAGAATTGGAGCTATTTTTAAGAAAATTTATTAAAGATTAAATGTGGGTTTTACTTTATTAAATATAAAAAACAGTGAGTGGCTAGAATGTTTTAAATTTGATATTAACAATTGCGAATGTTTTCTGTTGTGTGAAATTATAACAAATAATAAACAGTTCATTAAAGTGGTCATCTTCCAGATGATCAAATTCAGGTTTGTCTTGTCTTTATATACCTATAAAATTGGGACGATGGATGATGCCCACTTTAACATTAAATTCAAGTGTTATACATTTCGATTTGAAATTTTTACATTTTACTAAAGGTATCAGAAATGCAAAAATTTCAAATTCGTAATAAAAAAAATCACAGGAAAACTTGTGTTTCTAATTAGTCATTAAAAACTTACCAATCCTCTTCATATCCTGGAATTAATACAAAAATAATCAATATTTAATACAAATGAAATCAAAAACTAAGAGGTTGGCTTTTATTTTTACTTTACCTTTTTTGTCAAGGTCCAGTAGATCATTTTAAGGACCCAATTTTCTTATTGAAAGCCACTAGCTAGGTATGACTTTAAGCGTAAATTGAAAATAAGAAAATCATTTAAAAATGGGTCAAGACAATTTTTTTTATTAATACCTACCAGTAAATTACGTGGTTTTATAAATAGATGTTTTTATTTTCATGCGCTTGTTTTTTTTGTAAATAGGTATGAATGAAAATGATATCGGTGTGATTAAATATCGTTTTGCAACAGTTGTTGTCCTTCGCAGCAAAATAAAAAGCTGTTGTTTCGATGCACCTACCTTTTATTCAAATAATACGCATATTATTTGACTTGATGAGACAGACAACCACAATTTAGATATTATAATAGGATCGGGTGTTGGGAAATGAAAATCTAATGCTAATGTAAAGTAACGACTACTCAAAATTAACTTATAATCAATTTATTGAATTTTAAAAACAATGAACACGATTTATAAAACAGCTAAACTATACATATTAATGTATAAAATTATAAGTAACTTAATTACAGCTACAAATATTGCATTGGTATTACAAAGAACAATTTACTTATATTTAAAAACCTAAATACAGTCATTTCCTTTATTTAAAATAGTATTGGTTTGCGATATAGTAATCTAATACGAGTAATATAACAATGCTTATAAAATTATGCGCAAAAAGTCTTTTTTTTTCAACATTCATATCGATAATAATCAAAATAAATACAAATTACAAGAAACAGGAAATGGAATTTGTCCACAGCACAGAACAAAGGCGCAATAGTACCACTTCGTACAAAAGGAACCCCTGCTCTGTGTGTCTATTTTGTTGCAGGCGAGCATGAAATTAAAATCAATAATTCGACTCGCCTGCAGAAATCTGCTGCAATGTTAAACAAAACAAAGAAAATTTTTAATTTTCCAGCATATTACGTAAGAGTCGTAATCAAAATGGTGCATTTTGTCACAAAATGAAAAAATGTTAAACTTACCTGATAAACAGCAGCTCGAGGCAGATCCAAACAAACTGCGCAGCACAAAATTCCGCCCAGCCTATCCTCGAGTTTATATTTCTTTTCATCTCCAGTTATTCTACTGGATAATTTACGTTTTTTTATGTCAGGTTCGATAAATTCTTCCTGTTTTTCAACCTCCTCCATTATCTGGGGAGTGGGCTCGCTACTCGAAGGAATAGGCTGCTGGATATCGGACATATCGATAGGAATAGGATTAATTTCTTCGTTGATATTCAATTCTATCATTACCCAAACATAAAACAGCTGAGAGCAACTCCACTTCCACACAAAACCAGAAAACAGCTGACGTGACGTTTCTTATTTGACATGAACCCCAGCACGTTTCCCTTACCCCTCCACACCGAAACATCTTAATGGCCACGCCTTCTTGTATCCTTTGTTGTTGTAAATCTCAGACGTTGCCAGAACACTGTTTTTTTCCCTAAAAACTAACATAAATCACTAGAGACGTTAATTTTTATTTGAAAATGTCAGAATCTACATCTAAAAAGAAATCCCGCCGGTACAGTATTGAATATTAAAAATGTGGATGTATGTTCTTCCCTACAAACCAATCATGTGTTTAAATTGCCAAATAGTTTTTCAAATAAAACTATGAAACCTTTTCTATACTACAAGAGCATTTAAATAAAATACTTGCTGATAAGAAGAACAAAGATTTATCATATTTTCAAGGACTGTAAAAGCAATATTTAAAATAGCGAACTGTCAGATATCATTAGAAAAAAATCCTCTCAATAATAATTCAGCCCAGAAAAGAATAAATATGAAATGGCAAAAGTCGTTAACATATCATTATGTGATTATACTTAAAAACTTTCCATTTAACTCGATGAATAAACTCTGCCAAAACCCGAAGCTCTACTGTTAAACATTTGAAAACTGATACCAGTGGCGTAGCCAGCCATTTTTCATGGGAGGGGTTTCAGAGAACTATGGGGGGAGTTTTAATCAAGAAAGTGAATAAAAACAAACTGTCAAGGGAGTTCTGACTTCCAAAAACACCCGTGGGTGCGCCACTGCAAAAGAGAAGCTATATTAAATACCATGCAACAGCTTTTCTAAGAGAAAGAAATTCCTATTTGCAATATTTTGTCAGTTAATTACAGGACATCATAAGGTTTCATAATGCAATTGAAACAAGCAGTACCAAATGTATTCATTGTGTATTGTATTATTCATCGTCAACATTTTGTAGCCAAAAATTTGAATGAACAGCTGCATACGTCGTTCCATTACGTTATTACAGCAATCAATACAATTAGAATCAATTCATTGAATGACTGATTATCTGGTCAGATTTGTAGTGAAAACACAGAGGTACGTGTTTGACCCTCTAGTAGGTACGTGTTTGTCAGAAGCGGTTTTTCAATCTGTTTGACACAGTTCTGGACTTTCTTGAAAACCTGATTCTATGAAACAATTACATCGCTTATTTGACAGACCTGTTTAAAATATATGAAGTTAATATACAATTTCAAGGTAATGAGTATGAGGTGAATTTAATTAAAACAAGAAACGTCATAGCTGCTTTTGCAGGAAACCTTCTTCTATTCAAATGTAAACTAGGTAGATGTGAATACGAACACTTTCCCACAATAGGTCTTTTCCTTTGCATCGAAAGTGTAGCACCGTAGGATAACTACACGTCTCGTTACACCATAGGTCTTGCCGAAGAAGAAAAACTACTAAAACTTGTCTAAAACTTATTTTTACTCGAAGGACCATGTAATTTTTAACCACTTACAAAACGTTTTATTTAAACACGAAATATCGTTTAAGTCTCTTATTATTGTCAGCAATACCCTTTTTATTAACTCTGTCTGCTCCCTAAAAACCCCAGAAGTACCAGGCATATTGCTCGGGAAAAGCCGTCTTTTAAAATTGTTTTGGATTAGTACCAACTACCTAAGTTTAATAAGTTATGACGGACTATTATCCGTTCTAATAGAATTTTAATTACCCTTAATTGGGGCTTATTTTGGTATTTTGAAAGAGTAGGAAAAACCAGAGCTGTTCCACTGCGAGTCTATACTATGAGTAGAAATATATACAGTATGATGCAAAAAAATATATTTATTGTAAATAATAAATTCAATGTGTTCGAGTCTTTCTCGAACATACTGCCCCCCGTTGAAGCTTTATAGCTTTGTAGCTCAGTGCTACACTTTTGATGCAAAGGAAAAAATCTATTATCAGCAGTCTCTGCAAAACAGATAGATTCACTTACTTACTGCCAACACTGGGACGTTCTTCGTGTTAATTTTACGGACTATTTTTAAGATATGTTAAACATGAATATACCGAGTTAATTTTTAGATTTTTTCACAAATGCAGATACTGAAGACTCAAGAGTCATTAAATTTAGAAAAGTAACTCATAAAATTAGTATATAAAAAAAATATTTACTCACTATAAAACGAATTACCATTCTACCTTCCTAAATAGGCTTCTTTAATGTTAGATTTTCTTCGTATAGGTAGGTACTTATCCCGTAAATATATCGATAAACTTTTAGAGGTGGCAGCGACATTAAAATAAACATTTTATGTCAGAAAATGCTTCGTTTCCGATAAAATATTTTCCCTTTGGACACGCCCTATAGAGAACCCTACAGAAAACCTTATAGACCCAAAATATACCTCAAAAAAACTGTGAAAATTGCATTTAAATCAATTAATACATTTTTGACATTAAAAATTGATTTTTTTTAAACTCATGTATCTCACAGTAACGAAACTATTTTGGACATGTTTAACAAAAAATGTTTATTTTGATGTCCCTTACCACCCCCAAAAGTTTGTCGACATTTTACAAAGAAAGTCGATTTGTCTGACTGCAACGACTGTCAGAATAATCTCTAGCTGTCATATAATGTCAAATAGTATTTTAAATAATGTATATTATAGATGAGAAATGTAATATTTCAGTTGCCTGATTATTGGCTAAAAGTGATTGAAAAAATCGTCAATTAGAAATCATGTCGAGCTTTAGGCCCTCTGTGCCATATTTGGGCCTCTTACGACCTCCACTTTTCAGATTATCAAGAATATACTATCGAATAGATCAACCTCCAGAACCCCCTAAGATACGCCTATGCTTGGTCACGGATAAGCTAAAAAATGAATATAAGTGAATAATTAATTCTAGAATGCACTGAAATGATGATGACATCGCCTATTCAACTCTTGAACAATATTTTACTTGCAGACTTTTGTTTGGACGTACATTTCTACAACACCATTCATTTTACCTTTATAAAATAATTACTTTTTTAACTAAAAATTAATAGTACATTTTAAAAAATGTGTTCTAGTTTCGTAAAAAATAGAGAGATAAAAGTTACTACTGACCCTGATAGTGCGCTACTGGTTAAATCTTTTAAAAGTTAGTTTACGGAATATTACTTTCGTAAAGAGGATATTGATCGTCAAATTTGAAAAAAATATTAAAAGGCCTTTTTTTCCAAAAAATTGTAGGAATTAAAACGATTCCCACGACTCACGGTTGGTGGCTAAAATTAAACTAAAAACGTAAAAAAAAGCTAAAAAAATTGAAATAATTCATAAAATATGTTTGAAATATTTTCTGAAATCTGACAACATTGCAAGGCAAGTTATGCGTTTTCGATTACATTCCCCGCACCCCACTCCTCTTTCACAACACGTGTGTCGATGGATCAAATCTATGCACGCTTCGGCGCAGTTTACCTGGAAATCCGATTTTATTCCCCCTCCGTTCTCTTTTTCTGTTTCTGCGTGTTTCTGTTTCTGCCCTGCAGCATTCGACTTCGGGTAACACCCAAACACAAAAACACATGAAACAAAGAAGAAAAGAGGGTCATGAGTGGGTTTGACCTGGATGTTGAGTTAGGATTCACGATCATTATTTAATTGGTTTCTACTATTCTACTACTATTTAGAATAGAACACCAACAGTTTCGGCCTTTCGAGGTCATTAAAAAAATGTGTATATAAAAACTGTATATAGGTACTCGGGTATTGGCATTGAGTAAAGGAATATTCTTTACTCAATGGTATTGTGTAGGTACCTAGGTATTAAAATAGTTTTCAATTTGCTAAAAACTTTTGTAATTAAGGCGAAAAAGGCGATTAATTTCAACTGCAATAATAGAATACCTAGGAGGTTTAATGAAAAAAAAGATAGGTGTACCACCCCAGACAACACACCAAATCCCAGAGATATCCACAGAATATCTTTTGTGGATATCCAATATATCCACAGGATATCAGAAATATTCCGTGGATCTAATATGGATATCCAAATGTCCGTCTATATCCAGAATATAGAAGATATCCTACGGATATTCAGCAAAATATCTAATGAGTATCTTCCAGACAATTCAAGAAATCCCAGAGATATCCACAGAATATATTTTGTGGATATCCAATATGGATATAGAATTCAGATATTCAGCAAAATATTTTATAGGTATCTTTAGTAGAGGTTCATAAGTAACCAATGATTATTGAATAACCTCGAAAGAAAATAGAGATAAAAAATATTTCCAACAATCTGCCTTTGATTTTGCCCACTATAAGGGCACTAAGGAGAAAGTCATTCTTATTAGGACTCTTCAATTCTCGACTCTAGTCTCTAATAGAGTGTGATGCCAAAAAAATTCGATCGAACTCATTTACGGCGGGTTGAGCATGAGTAGATACGAAAGTGGTATCGCCATCTATATTTAGGAAGCAAAATCAAAAATTACATCTAGTAGATATCCACGATGGTTTGCGTCCGCGCTTAGACTTTGATATATTTATATTTATAGTGGATGTCCATGGGATATAGAATACACCTTAAAAAAATTAATTTTAAATATCTGAACGGTACTATTAGCCACAATGGCGAGCACAATGGCGTAATTTTTTAATAATTTGCTATATAATTACTATTATTTATGGACATTTGCATGTCTATAAATTACATTTCATGGATATAAAATAGATATCCACCATGGACTGGACATTCAGTGGATATTGGGATGTTCATTAGATATCCAAAGGATTTGGTGTGCTGTCTGGGACCTACCTATAGTTTTATTTTAAAATAATAATATTGACAGGTCCTACCTAATATTTTCAAATATGTATCAGGGTTACTTGCCTAGATAATAAAATAGGTACCTACCTAGGTTACCTACAACAGCCATTATATGTAGGAAGGTAATATCATAGAATGGAATATAAAATAAATTTGTAAATCAATATGCGCATTTATTATTATAATAGGTAGGTATATACCTACCATACCTAGGAGTTCCCAGTTTCTACAATCTATATCGAGGGAAGTTATGGATAAAACACTTCACCGTGTTTTTTAGTTCCTATTAATATTTTCAATTAATATTTTTGTTTTTTTTATTGAAATTTAAAAGTGCTTTACTTTTATTTATAAATCATTTTTTATATTTCTTATGGATAGGTATGTGTATATAGGTATACCACATACCACTTAATATTTCACAAATTTGATACTTGATTATTAGGACACACCTATTCATTTTTGCCTAATATTAGTCTTCAGTGGTCAGATGGCAACAGTTGTTGCATGGAAATCCTATAGCAAGCCATGTGGATTTTTCTTTAATTCGCAAGGTTTATAATAGGATTTGATGGACGACATATTAGCAGTATTTTTTTTCTATTGTTAGAAACGGGTTATATAAGCCAAGGCTAGTGGATTGTCGTTTCTATTATGGTGGGAAAAACAATTTAACTCGCCTGAAGACCAACGGCAACATAATAACCTATATCCGCTCACCAAAGGAAATATGAATATTTTACGCTGAAGCCCATATGATATAGCATGTTACCAGAGCACCTAAAGAAAGAAGGGTCTCTAATTAATGAAGGCTTTTTCTACTCATCGTTGAATGAATTTATAAATTATTTTTAAACTCTCAATATATTTTTAGGTACCTGTGATCATTGAATTTTATTATATTTATGATGAATTTTTATTGTAGAATGTCTAATATATGTGGTATTCAACTTATTTAATGTAATTTAATATAAAACCACTTTTGTGACCTGTCTCATGTCATCGTAAGATGATATAAGGCAAATAATTAACCGTCCCTCGCCTCACTATGCTTAATTGATCTCAACCACATATACAACCTGGCTTTTATTATTTATTTTTCTTATTAAAAAAGTATTAGTATTTTGTATTCTTAAATAAAAGAAACTTTTGTATTTAATTTTAATGTATATTTTTATTAAATTACTAAAAAATTGAGTACAATCCTGGCATGACTCAAATGCGCAGAATCTCCACTACCCTGAAACCTTTTTTTTTTTAAATGACGCCATTTACTTCCTCATTGAAAACATTTCAAAACGTCTCGAAAAAATGACTAACAAGATCATTTGTCAATTGTCAAATAAGTCATGATGACATAAACAAGTGAAATTCAAAATAAAAAAAATTGTTGCTCAAAAATTCATTTTAAATCGAGTCATAGGATAAATATGGATAATGAAAGAAGTTCGCCTATTCAAGAAGACTCAGATAACTCTGGTGATAATTTAGAAATCGTAATCGAAAATGTGACAAGAAAGAGAAAACAGCCTCCTACGCCAACAGCTTCAGAAAAACGTATCATTGAAAGTATAGAAGATGAATTGGAAAAGCGGTTAGATGAAAAAGCTTTAAAGACTAATCTAAATGCCGTGCACGTAAAAAATATTATCAAGCATGTGGTTACCAATGAATATGTGTTACATTTAATCAGGAATGTTGAAAATTCAGCAAGGGACCCTGAGGGTTCGGGTCTCGTATTCGAACCCAAATTAACCCGTTCTAAAGCAAAGTAAGTTAGTATTATGTACTTAGGACTGCCATATAGTAGATAATTAAAAATGAATTAAAATAAACTTGTTTTTTAGAGAGTTATGTTCTTCTCTTGACACATTACCTTCCGTGTCGTGGACTTCTCCAAAACCAATATCTGAAGTACAAGCATTATTTACAGAAGATTTGCAAGAGGATTCTTCAGGAGATGAGTATGTTCCAGGTATTGGTGATGAAGAAGGGGAAAAAGAAGATGAGGTTAGCATTGAAATAAATTGGTATTTAAATTGTCCAAAATTCATGATAATTTTTTTAGAGTGAAGATGACCGGGATAGCTCCTCAATTTTCAGTGATCCACCTTCTGTTGAGCCTCCTACCCCACCACCTGCACCAAGTTGTAGTGATTCATGTACCCAAACTAATTGGACTGACGATGGAATATTTAAAATACCATCCCTTCCAAGAGATAAGGAAGAAACGACAGATGATGCAAACATTGCTTTGCGAACTAGGTAAGTAAAACATTGGAAAATAAATCTAACAAACTACTTGATTCTTTATTCAATTTCAGGTCAAAACTTTGTTTGAGTTCAACTCCTTTGGAGGAAATAGAAGAAGCATTTGTGCCTCCTGATATAACCACTGACATGTATGAAATGGAATGCGATAATGAAGATTGGATGAATTTTCTAAAAACATTCACCAGGCCTCTAGATGAGATCGTTAAGGCTCCAGAGGAGGAAGATTTAGATCCTGAGTATAATGTTCTAGGTAAGTCATTTATAGTCAATACTATTTTTGCCAAACTAAATCATTAATTATTAGTAAACAGATTCTTAGATCTAATTTTGGACAGCAAATTGATGTGGGAGAACTATATAGATTGCCTATCAAATAAGCTAAATTGTGTATGTTTTCTAATGTTAAAAATAAAAAACAGTAAATCATGTTGTTTTAAAATTAATAACATAATTTTGCTCTTGTTGAATCAATTGTCTTGGTCTGATTTTTTGGGGCTGCTAAGCTTATAGTCTAAAGTTTTATCCTTTGGTATACTATTTTTAATTTTATTTTGTATTTCATTTTTACCTTAATTGTAACATTATACTTCTCTACTTTTTAAAATTGTATGTAAGGCTAATTAGGTCTTGTATATTTATACATTTTTTAACTTTTTAAAGAATGTAAATATGTATATCTCTGAGATGAATAAATTTTGAATACAAATATTTTTTTTTGTTTTAGCTGATGAAGAGATTGATAAACCTGATAAAGAAGAGTTAAGAGTTGACAAGGCTGTAAAAGTTAGCAGGAAGGAATTAAATGATCTAATGGCAGAACTCTATGAATTTTGCACAACTGAGCAAGCTTATCTTAACACTATGGAAGATGATGAGGATAAAGGTGAATCACAATTTTCTCTTAGTCAGTTGACAAACACTACATTGGAAACTTCAGAACTTAATAATTCTACAATTGTTCCAGATGAAACAGTAAGTGATACTGATTTTATTGTCTATTTTTTTATTAACAAACATATCATTTTTACATTTTTCTAGTCAATCACTGAAAAAATCAATAAAACTGAGACCACTAATATGTTTTGTGGTATTCAAATTTCTTTGCTTGAACAGCAGTTGAGACAACATGTTCAAATATTGACTCAAAATTATTTATTGACTTATCAACATCCAGAACTACATTCCCATTCAAGACAATTGAAGGAATATTTGGTAAAAACTACAAATTCATATTTTATTATTATCAAATTTTTATATAATTTTTGTTTTCAGCTCAACCTTAAGTTTCTTGCTGGTGATAAACATACATCTTTGTTTCGCACTTTAAATTTGGAAAGTGCAATAAACATGATCAATTATTATGATAATTTAGTTTCTAGTGATGTGGAAGAAGTAAAAGAAATGAAATTGTAAGTTATTTGTAAACAAACATTTGAGATAGATAGTATATATCTTATTTTTTTCTTTTACAGGCATGTTGAAAGAGTAATATTTGAATCGTAAGTTAATATTCATAAATCACTATTTACAAAGCATTTTTAAATGTTTACCTATGTGTAAATCCATAAGGATAAAAATATCCATTCAAAGAAAAAAGTAGAGTTCATTAAGATTAAAATAAATAAGGATTTACATGTGGGATTAGGCTATTAGTGTCACTAATTTTGCAACCTTAATTTTTTAGGTTGAAAAATAAACAGACCGGAAACGAATATATTGTAACCTTCCCTGAACTAATACTGAAAACTATTTCAAACAGTGACATATTTTTGTATCCGTCACTACTACCAAAAATACCCTTCAAGACAGAACGATTTTTCAAAAACTTTGTTTTCTTTTCAGAATCAGAAAGCCAGTAAGTATGCACTGTCAATGTTAACATACAATATTTTTGTTTAAAACTTATTTTGTATAATTCTAACTTCAGACACTCATGGTGATAACTCTACTCTAATTTTTTCCAGACTAATAGCTATGGGTTTGGAACAGTTTATACCAATAGCATGTGATGAATTAGTAAAAGTCAAACATAAACATAAGCTGTTAAAGGTTGTTTCTGAGTACATACATGAATACATGTTGCCAATCAAACAACCTCATCAGATTTTAAGGAAAATCACGCAATCTAACTTTACTAGATGTGCTGATAATCCGATTAAGTATTATTTCAAAAACGAAAAAGCACCAGTTTGTATTCAGTATGTTATTCCTTTAGAGCAATTGAAAGTATTACCACCGTGTCAAAGAAAACCTGAAGAATTGCCTCATCAATGGAAAAATTATATTTATCCACCAGTAAGTAACTTCAAACATATACTCTTACAATTTGTAGGCTCAAAAATATTGTCATTCATCTTTATTTGTGCCGATTCGAACCAAAATCCTTGTGGTTGAATGTTAATGTGAATTTAAATTGATTTAATCGAAACATCTGATAATTTTTTTATACATCTCAATTAGAATCGATTTTTTATTTGAAATCGAAATGAAGAAAAATGATTTGGGTGTCAATTCTCGCTCAAAATTTACATTACGATAAGGAGATTCAACATTGAGGTTTTGGAGTTTTTGCAATTTGTGAAAGTTATTCGAAAATAAATGTAAACTTATTAATTTAAAAACAATTTTTCAAATGATTAGAACTTTTATTGTGTTGATTATATTTTTATATACATAGTTAAAAAGTATCCTCTTAGGATTCACTCTGTATAGTACGCCCCAAAATTTTTTTACAAACAGCACTGTTAGTTGGAACCTGACAGTGAATTACGAGTGGGGAATCCTACCTATGCTTTAGAATTGAAGGGCGTATGTAAAAACGTGACAAAACACACACTTTTTAAAATAAATTTATTTTTACTTCACGACAATAAAAATTAAGGTACAAAAGGCATATACCAATTGTAAATTCTCTAACAGATACCATCATTAGACGAAAAATCAAGTTATTGCATTTTAACAAAGTTGTAGTAGTTAAAGTAGTTTTAGAAGTTTATTTTAACCTTTGAAGACACGTTTCCTCAATAAATTAATGTTATGGCTTGTCATGTTATTCCTATAAGTTCCTCCAATTATTATTTAATTCATTAAATTTAATAAAAATCCCTTCACGGGCAGTATTCGAACCTGAAACCCTTCGATCTCAAAAGTCATAACTCTAACCACTGAGCCAACCCACCCCAAATTTTGATTATTATTTTAAATACTGCTAGACATTTCTTGATGATAATTGGCAATTATAGTAATAAAAAATTTCTTGCTATCATCAGAGGCATACGGGCACGAGAAAAGTTGTATTTTCCTACATTCTATGCCACTCGCATAATTGTCATTTTAGTAAAATATTTAGATAGATAGATACTTTCTTTTTAATTAAACTACTTATTTTTCGTAACGTTAGATATTATTTTTCTACATATTTAAATTTAAACATAAAGCTGCAAAATTATTTTAATATAAATATTATTAATAGTATTAATTATGTCGGTGTCTATTGTCATAAGATATAGTTCACATTTGAAAGTATTAAAATAATAATAATAATAATAATTTAAATAAAACACCCTGTACTCAGTAAGGAGCAATATTTCGTCTAAGTAATTTTAGTAAAATCTTCAAATTTTGAGATAAAAATTTTCCAGTAAGAATATTTACAGTTATTAATGAAATACCCTGTTTATATTGTTTAAATATTTCTGTGCAGTTTTGATTTCTAAAAAACAGGAATCTTTTTTTTTTTTTCTGAAAATATTTGCAATTACGGTCCTGGTGACACTTACTGCGCAAACTCAAATCCATTCAAATATCCGTTCTTGTGTTAACTGTTATTCGAACAAACGAACGCAAACGTTGCATGGTGCCGCAGCTTGATTTGTCGAACTCGACTGGTGTAAAAATTTGAAATCAGACACTTGACATTTCATAGATATTCGATATTCGTTTACAAACATTTTTTATAATATATTTTAATTTTAGAATAAAAATTCTGCGATTTCACCGATAAGTACATTTTTGGTGCAGCCGATAACAATATCAACGAGTAATATACAGAAAACTCTGTTTTGCAAAGGACCAATATCTTCCTCTACTCCAGTTTGTCCTAAGAAAAGAGTATCCAGAATAAAAAGAGTATCAAGAAGACGACAATTAATAAAACAGTCTAATTGTTCTAAATATGACCCAATAACAAAATTTGTTAAATGTATAGGTAAAGTATCCTCAATTGATAAAGTATTAGATTTATTTTCATTGGATACAACACATGATTGTGATGTTAATATTTCCATCCACTCTAAAATAGAAGAAATTGATAAAATCAATGAAACAGCGAGCCCTGGAAAGGATATTCAAGATAAAAATACATTTGTAGAAAACAAAATTATCAATAAACTAAGTCCATATCCCCCAATGTTTCCTTCAATGCCAAGTTTATTTACCCCTGTCAAGATTAATTCACAGGATGAAGAAGAAGACAAGGGTATTCCTGTCAAAAGGGACATATCTTTAGAAATTTCAGAAGAAGGAATTACAAGCTTTCCATCATGTAGTTCTTTAAATATTTCAACTAAAACTTCAGATTCCAGTGTTAAACAAGATGTTAGCATTCAAGAAACTAAAGTGGAGGCTACACTGAAGGTAAGATTTAAATTTAAGGGCCTTTAGTCTGTCTGATTTAGTAATAAACAGATTTAAGTAGTTTAAAACAAAATGTATATACAGAAAATGGTTTGAAGTGATAATGGGTGTTCTTCAGGGAGAACATCTAAGCCCTTTATTATGTGCATTGTTTATAGCTGACTTAGAGACCTTTTTTTATAAGTTATAAATATTGATAACAAAAATGATGCTTTGTCTCTAATATATGCTGATAACCTTGTCATTTTGGAATATTTTGAGATTGATGGTCTGTTAATTTACAGAAAACAAAAATGCAATTCTCTAGGGGGGTTTCTGGAGAGCTCAGTGTAATTTTAACTGATTTCTACAACCAATAAATAAACATCTAGGAGTGGTCTTTAATTAAATGGCCCATTTAATTGCCAACAAAGGTAAACAGGCTATAGGTTATCTCCTCTGGGGCCTAACATACTTAGATATATTGGAAAGAGTTCTGGATATAAAAAATAATGACACTGAATAATCATTATAGCAACAATTACATTTTATTAACTTGACATATATAAAGTAAATTGAATAGTAAAAATAAAAAAGTTCTTTGTTGTTATTGTTATGGAACAATTTAAGTCATCCTTCTTTAGTTCATATAGAAAAGATTTATTGCCCAAATATTTTACAAATTTACATGATTCAGATGTTAGTATAGCGCCTCGTTATCCTTTTTTGTATCTATATAAATATTTTTCTACCTCTTGTGAACTAAGCTCATACTTGCTTTTAAAATTACAAATCTAGCTTATCCACTCTTGGTCAATTGCATTTAAATTTATATTAAATTGTATTGGATATGTTATTGATTCTGAACTGGATTGTACTGTGTGTAATACACATGAAAAACTATTTTTCTCATGCTTTTTGATTGTCCGATTTATAGGTCATATATACCTTACATAATACACACAATTTTTAAAGTTATGAAATTTGCTGAATATATTTGGAATATATTAAAATTGTACTCTTTTGTATTAAATAAATACTGTTCTCTTTGTATTATTTAAGGTCTGCCACTGGGTTCCTGAATTATATGTGAATATTTAAGGGTGTGAATATACATGAAAAATATGGTCCAAAAATTTTCTTTTATGAAAATACAGGGTGCTGTAACATGTAACTGCCCACTCCATGGCCCTTTGATTTTTGTTTAAATCTGAAGTTGTATTATTTATCTCTCAATTTTGTTTTACTTTAAATTCTATACTTACTGTATTTGGCCTTTTTCCCCTAGTATTAGTAGTAGTAGTAGTGATCCCCTAGTTAATTAAGTGATCACTTAAACACCCACGTTGTGATAATGTTAATTAAAATAAACCAGGATTCAATGCAAAGTTTGGTGCAAATTGTTAAATAAATTCATACAAAATTTATATTTAAAACCTTTTATTTTTCATATTTTAAAATGTAACGTAATAATTTGCAAAGTATATTACAATAGGTACTTTTTACCGAGATCTCACTTGAGTCCCTCTCAAACGCGGACCACGTTCATTTGCTATCAAGATATATTTTATTTAGCTTGATTCTATCCTAGATATACACATGATTTCTTAGGTACTTATTTCGACGACTATAGAGATGATGACCGACAAACAGCGCCAATTCGCCAGTTGGTTAACTTACTCTGTTGATGTTCACATTTGGACCATAGTTTATAAAGCTATCACTATCACTAATTTTTCATGTAGATTTACACCATATCATTAAGGAACACCCTGTATATCTGTACTCATTACTATAACAGTTTTGGAAGCAATAAATATTATATACAGAAAATTTAATCATAAGCTTAAGGTTTGACATATTAAAAATGGAAAATTGCTATTGCTTAAAAAGTGAAAATGCTCTTGACAATTTTCTTAATTTCTTCTGGAACTCATTCAACTCTCTGGGTAGGTCTTTATTCCAAACATACAAAGGATTAACTATGTTCCTGTATTCGCTTTTGGACTATTTATAGGCATTTTAATTGCCCCCATAATTGTAGGCCATAATATGTCCATACGGCTTTAGAACTTGTTTGTAAACCAAGACTTTGTTTTGAGTGGAAAGTGAAGGGGGTCTTCCTATCAATACATATTTCTATATTTAATCTTTAGCTGTTCAGCTTTTATTTTTACATGCTCCTATTGTAATTTAGAATTCAGATTTAGGCCCAGATATTTTGCTGTTTTCTTATTTATGTTTATTGGTTGGTATATAATCTAATGTGATCGAATTTTTCTTTGTTGATTTTTGTGTACCGCTGTATAGATCAGATTAGTACACTATTGATTCCGTTTTGAAGGTTGTTTCTTCTATTGTTCATCCTATGGTTAAGACAGCTGTATCGTCAGTGAATGTGGGTAATGAGATAACATTGAATTTGTTCAGTCTCACTAGATAGAATGTATGGACTACATTGACAATAAGAAAAAGTGTACAAACAAGGACATACATATGTATATTTGGGAAAATTTGCAATTCATTAAAGAGTTAAATACATTTATTTGCAAATTTTAGATTTATAGGAATACAAAAAATTATTTTTAACTTGTAATAAAAGTTTTTTACATTCATAAATTTATGTGGTACCAGTATTACAGATCATATCCTTTCTGTCTCTATTTTTGTTTTATTCCCAGTTCATAGTGAAGAATATGAAAAACACATATTTTGTTCAATGTAATAAATAAATACATAATATCCTTTTATTTTAATTATATAACTTCCAAATTTAGGACAATCAAGATGATATAAATGCACTGTTGCTTGCAAGTTCTACTGTTAAATCTACAATCAAAAAAGAAATTTCCGGCGCTGATAAGAAAAAAGCCAAACAGAAAAAGGAATTTCTAGCCAATTTAAGCATTTCCACTCCTGAAAGTAGAGAAATTGAAAAACAAAAAAATGAAAGTAAGTTAATCAATTTTGATTTATAATGTTTTTATGGAGCATCATTTTACTTTCATACAGTTTATTTGCTATATTTGATAATTAATAAATGAACATTTGTAGTGTTTGCCCTCGCTTATTATGATAAGATGCGCGAGACTCTGGAAATCGAATCTTACCACAAAGTAATGCAAATTCTAAACGATTATGAAGAAGGTGATGCAGTAGATCTTTACCGCAAAGTCGAAGTTATTTTGAGACCCAAATACAAAGATCTAGCCGACGAATTTCTTCTCTTTCTCAGAGAAAGAGAAGCCGCTGCTGTCGGACGATTGATACCTTGGATCAGAATGAATAATAGATCAAAATTTTTAAGAAAATTGGAAATTTTCTTCAAGGATCAACCGTCCCAATTAAAAAAGATATATCATTCTTTGACGGAATTATCACAAACAGTGGGCGTTTCAATGGAAAAAATCAAAACTACTTTGTTACCCATGTTTAAGGGAAACGCGGTAATAACGGATTTGTTTTTACAAAACTTCATGGATGAAACTCCTCCTCCAAGGTAAATACTAGCTTAAAAATGTTATACTATTTACCTATATATCACTAATATCTGAGTCACACTTTGACTCCATATTGCATCATGATATTTTAGTTGGGTGCTCCCCAATAATTACCAATCTGTGCAAGCGAGAATGCAAAAAACCTGTTTATTAATTTCATTTACAACTATTTAAATATTTAAAAAACCTCTATGATTGCAGAACACTTTAACCTTATAAAACGAGACAAAAGAACTACTCTAAGACCATTAGTAAACTGTACTTGACTGATTTTGTCCTTGAACAAACATTGAAGTTCGAGTAGAACTTCAAATGGAAATAAAATAGATTTAACTTTTTTGAATTATTTTATCTCTTTTATTGAAAAACAATATGGATCAAATTTGGGACAATCCTACTAGACTTAATTTCAAATTGATACCCACAGTGACAACCAGTAGATTTTTGATGCTTGAACATAAAATAATGCACAGACAAATTAATTTTTTTTTGCATACACTCTTGTCACTTTTAATGTGTACATGTAATTTATTAATATCCTGCATTAACTTATTCCATATTATATGTTGATTTTTTATTTGGCTATTTTCCAGTTTACTGGACGGTCCTTACGAGAACTTTGATGTTAACAAAGAAATGGCTAGGCCAGCCAATGAAGAATCTTTTGAAACGATAGCAGTACCTGATGTATTTGATAAATATGGCAATCTCACTTGTATCTGCAGTTGTCATGAAATAGAGGATGCTGAATTCAAGTCTAGATACAGGCATTGCACTAGATGTGGTACAAAAGTGAGTAAATCTACAGCCTTCTAGCACTTAATATTTTTTATTGTTTTTACTATATTTGTAACTTTGTTCTTTGTCTGATCTACTATTTTTCTCTTCAGTTCATAAATGGCAAAGTTTATATGGCAACTGGACGAGGATTGAGACCAGCTAGAGTATCATTTTTAACAAGTCCAAATGCAGATCATCATTCAAGATTAGCAGACAAATCTTTGCTAAGCTTTATTCAAAGAAAAAAGAGATTGGACAGTAGTCCATCTAAAACTAGTACGTCATCTGCTAAGGAAAACCCGGATGAGGTAATTTTCATGCTTTTTAAATACATGTTATTATTAACCTTGATTGTTTCAATAATCTAAAACATTAATAGGATACTGACGAAGATGGAGATAAAAAGAAAAAACCGAAACGGAAGCCGCCACAAAGAAGGACGAAAAAACAAAAATCCACAGAAGAAACGGTAAAAGAACCACGAAAGTCGCCTGGAACCGGCAAGGGCAAAAACTTAAACAAAGAATTCAAACAAACCACCCCGCGAAAAAGAGCAAATTCCTTGAAAAAAAATGCAACTAAAAATGTTAAAACTGAACCAGTTAAAACTGAAATAGAACAGCAAAATGAAACGGAATTAAAAGAACATAATGAACTGAAGTTAGAGGATCATATTGAGAACGAATTGGAACAACACAATGAGACAGAACTAGAACATATTGAAGAAGCAGAAATGGAAGAGCACGTAGAAGTGGAGGAAAATAAAAGCTACTTGAAACCGGGTTCGAGTGAAGGTCAACAGAAGAGGTTACATGAAGAATCATGTGAAGAAGGTGCTGGAGAGTCCTCAAATGAAATTAAACCGGGAAGCCCCGAACAACACACAGCAGAGTCAGAAAGTGGTTAGTATTGTTTATTTTATTAATCAGTGTATGTTTATGTTGGATCGATATAAATTTGGCTAATTTATTACACATTAATCTCACCCTGTATATTGGATTAATCATTATTGCAAAATTGACTTTTTTTTATATATAAAAAAAGCAAGGGAAATACGAAATGCGCTGGTTTAAAATAAATAACAACTTCTATTAACTTTAACTTAAAATGTCAAATGCTGGCTAAAAGTACTGCAATAGTTATAGATATTGTTAGAATGAAGATTGAGTAATGCTTCTGGCGCTATCGTCTCACGCATATTTATTTACTTTGGAATGGTAGTTATAGAGATGCTTGAATTTCAAATCTAATTGGATCATCTGAACTACTTCAGTTGCACTGCACAAGATACATTGTGTTAATAGGGAGATAAAAGCTAGTATTACTCTTTTTTATGTCTGTGTTAGGTCACATTGTTTTCCATCTGTGCTCTATATTGACTTTGCCGTCATTATGCCATTTCAAATTTTCGTTGTATTTTTAAAAGAGACTAAATTTAAATTCTTAGTGTGTGACAGGGCCAGATATTTTTTATAATTCGTGTTTAAATGTAGATAAATAGTCTTATTTAAATACACATAAATTTAATTAATATCAGTAAGTTATGCGCATCTATAAATTACTTCAGAATAAACAAATTTTTATTAAAATTTTTATGAAAATTATGGATGTTCAAATCCATTTTTTTTTTAATCATCTTTATCTTCTTCAACAATGTCTTGATCACCAGCCAGAAGAATTTGATCATTGGCATCATTTTTCTTTAAAAATAAATACAATATAGAAATAAGTACAATAACTATTTATATTTGTTTTTATATATAGAATTTTGTGAGGAATCATCCCAAGATAACTGTGAATCGGACAGTAACTCCAGTACAACATCTACTCCCAAAAGTTACGCCGAGATGCTTGAACAAAATTCTTCGTGGAAACGGGAAGAAGATAAAATTATTTTGGAAGTATTTCAAACGGAAAATGATAAAGATCATGCTTTTGTGGCCATTGCGAATCAATTGTCGAACAGGACTGTAGATGAAATTAAATCCAGGTTTGACACTTTGATGGATTTATTGATGAAAACTGTGGAAGATCATAGAGACTGATTTTTGTGGTTGTGGTCAGTGTTTTAGCTCTTAAGTTTAAACTATTGTATATATTTAAAATAAATTATTTTTTTGTTATATCAAATTTTTATTATTCATATTAAATCATATACTGCAAAGGCAAGATGAAGTGTTATTAGTTTTCTTCAGGGTGTGTTGATCGTAACGTCTTAATTTTTATTAAAAAATGCATCAGGTTTCTTCAAAAAACATTATTTACTAAAGTTCCAAGAAATAATTGCTTTTTACTTTTAGCAAAATTCTAAATTTTAATAATTAAAATACGAAATACCACTATAAGTTAAGATAATTATCTAATAGCCATACTTCAGAAACATTTGGGAAAGGCCTATTTTAAATAGTCTATATCTACAATGTCTTCTGGTAAATACTTGGTAAGAGGAAGTCGAGGTAAAAATACAAAGTACCTAAATTATTAAACTCTTAATGATAGTAACAAACAAGAATACAACTTATATACAAAATTGATCTTACATCTTTAAAAACCTGGATCCCAATCTGTTACTTGAGTTACTGATTTCTTTTCGTAACAGATTATTATATCATCTGATTCAAATTTAATACTTTTATCTAAAAATTGGAGACCGCATTCCGTGTCAAACTTAATTGTATCTACTTCCTCTTTTAAATGCCTCATTGATGATAATGGACCTAAAACAGTTAAAAATTTCCATTAATTATTTGCATATTATTCAAAATTGATAAATTATTTACCTTCATGAATAATTGCGCCATTCCTTTCTACCCTATAGTTAGCAGCCCTTTTCAAAATACCTTTCTTGCACCTGCAACCAGCTACATTAACTTTCTTCCTACCTTGAGTAATTTCAAACGTTTGTATCACTTTAGCTTCCCCTAAAATCTCTTCCTCCTCTTTTGCTGGTAACCTGGAGTTAATTTCCTCTTTTAAATCATCAATCAGCTTGTAAATGACGTTATGGTATTTTATAGGAACGGTGTTGGAAAGTGTCTTTAAATTTGGAGGTAAATCAACATTGAATGCATAAATAACACCTGAGAACAAAATATTTTTAAGTATTTTTTTTCTATACTATAAAAAAACTTTTATTAAAAGTCGTGCTTTATAAATTGTTACTTTCTAAAAATAGTAAATTTACCATCAAAAGTTTGAGCTAATTCTATATCAGTTTCAGTTATAGAGCCAACTCCGTAGTTAACTAGGTCCATTTTGCATTTTTCAGATTCATAAGTATCTAAAGTGTTTAAAATAGCTTCTAATGTTCCATCTACATCTGCTTTTAATATAATATTTAATGAAGGAATACCGCTATCATCAACTAAAAAAATAAAAAGCCCAAATAAATGATTAATGAAGAGTTTTTAAGAAATATTAGGATCTTTTGTACCTTGAATTTCTGGTTTCCTAGGTCCCACTGGCTTTAACTTAAACCTTCCCATCCTCCTCTTCAATTCCAATTTTTCCTTATACTCTCTATTATGCTGCTGTTCCTTTAAATTAATTTCTTTTGCATCATCATGCATTTTTTCTTTATCTTTTTCAGTTTCCCTAAATCTTTGTACTTCTCTTGCTCTCTGTTCAGATTCAACCTGAAGTACTTGTTCACCAGCAGCTGGTAGCTGTTTCCATCCCTCAATTTCTACAGGATATCCTGGAGGTACTTTCTGAAGTGGCTTGCCTTCTGCATCTTTAAGACCTCTAACTTTTGCCATACATGTACCAGCTACCAATACATCACCTTTTTTCAATGTGCCTAAAATATAGTGGAGTTAACAATGTTTATTGAAATTAAAATATCATGTCTTGCCTCTTTGTACAATAACAGTACACAATTTTCCTCTATGTGGGTGTACTTTACTTTCTACAACTACAGCTTCTACGAAACCAGTAGGGTCTGCTCCAATTTCTAAAAGATCTGCTTGTAGAATCAATGCTTCAATAAGCAATTCAAGATTTTGTTTTTTAAGAGCAGATATAGGTATTGCTTGGACGTCTCCACCTAGACTTTCAACTTGAATACCTGCTTCTACTAATGTTCTTTCTGTTCTAGGGATGTCTGCCTTAGGTGCATCTATTTTATTAATCGCAACCAAAATTGGGACTGCAAACAAAATTTATTGTCTAGAATTCTAAATTTGTTCTGTTTTTATATGTAAACTTCTCTTTTACTTAATAATAGCAAAGTAAACTAATTATTTGAGAAAAAATAGACCAATATTATGGCAAATTTCTATTTACCTTTTGCATGTCTAGCCATTTTAATTGATTCTAATGTCTGTTCCATAACGCCATCATCGGCTGCCACAACCAAAACTACTATATCAGTCAAATTAGCTCCTCTTGAGCGCATTGCAGTGAAAGCAGCATGTCCAGGTGTATCTAGGAATGTTATGCAGGATCCAGATTTTAAAATAACTGAAAAAGCACCAATATGTTGGGTAATTCCACCAAATTCTTGATCTACCACCTTAGAATTCCTGAGAGCATCTAGAAGAGTTGTTTTGCCATGGTCAATGTGCCCCATAACTGTTACAACTGGAGGACGAGGTTTTAATTCAGATTTTGAGGGTGGGGGTCTAGGATAAACATCTTTCTTTAAATTTTCTTCAATATTATCTTCTGGCTTTGCTTAAAAAAATAGAACAGAAATTAATAATTTATTCTAATTTAAATATGCACAATAATTTACCAATTAGTCTCATCCTTCTGCCACTTCTGACAATGCCTTGTTGAAGCACTTTTACATCTGTAATGGGCATTTTTGGGTCATCTAATTTATTTAAAAATATATCAAATACATAATTGATATCTTTATTAAGAACTTTAGCTAATTCTTCCAAAGTAATATTTCTCCATACATCTACAAATTCTCCTTTAGCTTTTGGAGAATATTCAATTATCCGGGCGGATTTCTAAAATAATGTTATGTTGAAATCAAAGCGAGAAAACGAAAGTAAAACCAAGATTTCTTAATTTATCTGTAAAATTTACCCGTTCCTCTGCAGTTTTTCTCCTTTTATAATAAATGTTTGTTGTGTGTATACCAGCCGGGTAAAATAAGCCTGGATCATTTTTAATTTTAATTCTGGTTTTTCTATATAACCCTGAAAAGATCCTACAAAATAGTTATTTTCAGGAAAAAATAAAAGAATAATAACTTACACTACCTCCTACAAGATACAAATTTTTGAGAATTTCTTAAACTACCATATAAAACAATTTGCGTTAATAAACAACTTGTGTAAAAAGCCATTTAAAATAAGATATAACATACCTTCGCAAGGCAAACTCAAAATTTGAAAATATTTATTTTTTGGTTAAAATTTTATTCCGAATTTCTTCTTATCGAGTTACTTTGGCCACTTCTCGTCAAACATTCAGCCAGCATAGTTCAATTTACCGAATTTGGTTAATTTCGGTTGTTTTGATTGATTCAGCATTGAGATTCTCATCTCTCAATGCGGCACGTGTTGAAATGACTATCTTCGTTCCACAGAATGCGATTCGTATGTAATGTCTCTCTATTCAATTCGTTACGTGTTGAGTACGCACAGTAGAATCCCCGTCCTGATTTAAACTAAAAGAACAAATCATAGTTGTTTAATTTTTAACTCTAGTGTAAATAATCAGAATTGTTTTAAATTTGTTTTTCGTGAAAAAATGGCGGAATCTAAAATATATATTGGCAAAATGTAAATTAGACATATGACTTAATTGACACCAATTGACAGTGACGTGCCGATGACTGACGTATTTGCTAGTGTTTTTGTGATTATTCATTGATATGAGATATTAATTTGTTACTAGAAATTTAGTTAACAAAAATGTCTGATAAAGAAGAAAAACTAACTCAATTTACCTCAATAACTGGAGCCGCAGAGGATAGAGCAAATTTTTATCTAGATTCAGCAGCTTGGCAGTTGGAGGTTAGTAAATAGTAATTTTTTGTCGATTGGAAATATAAAAAAAATGCTTTAGGTTGCAATTGCAAGGTACTATGAAAATGACGGGGATTCCGATCCCGTAGAAGAGATTCCTCAACCAGTGGAGCCCCCAAAGTCACCCATAGTAAAAAAACCAAAATCAAAGTCTAAAGTAAAATCGTCTAAATCATCAAATGTCGCGACAATTAAATCAATAACAAGTTCTAGTGAAGACGAAGAGGAAGGGCAGGCATATTATGCTGGTGGTTCTGAAAACAGTGGGCAACAAGTCTTGGGTCCACCAAAGAAGAAGGACTTTGTAGCAGACATGTTTAAATCTGTTCAGGAGTATGTTTTCTGATTTGTACACTCCTGTTTTCAAAATTAAACTATTATTTATTTTAGACATGGAGTCGAAATTCTCGAACCAAGTGCATCATCCTCATCAAATTCAAGAGCATTTAGAGGAACTGGCTATAAACTTGGTCAAGATGATAATGATACAGTAGTTGTTCCTGGTGTTCCAGATCCTCCTCAACCAGCTGAGGTTACTTTAAGGCTATGGCAAAATGGATTTAGCCTTAATGAGGGAGAATTAAGGCCATATACAGATCCATCTAATAGAGAATTTCTTGAATCAATTCGTCAAGGGGAAATACCTCAAGAATTGCGACAGGGAGCTACTGAGGTAAGAACAATGATTGAATTGGGCCATTCCACATAAAATAATCTTATTTCCATTTAGGTCCATTTAGCAATGGAAGATCATCGAATGGAAGCATTCAGAACTTCAAGGAATAAAAGGTCAGCCTTTCAAGGACAAGGTTATACACTGGGAAGCCCAGCACCAGCTGTTGTTGGTGAATGTACTGAAGAAGAAAAACCTAACCATGAAGCCAAAGCTAAAGAGCAGCTAAATCTAGACAATTCTAAGCCAGTAACAAGGTACATTTTTGGAATTATTTACCCTATATAATACCTACTCTGTTAAATTTCCAAAAAATTGTATAAATTGAAATTAATTTCTTTAAGGAATATGTTATTAGTGTTGCACTTAGGGCTGTTGGGACACTAAGCACATTTTGAAGACACCCTTGAGTTAAAAAATAAAAAATTACACCAAGTTCACAAAATAATACATTTGTGTAACTGTAAAATTACCATTTCCAGTTAAGCAACTTCTTTTTTAGCACATTTTTAACTATTTTATTATTCTATGTATTATGCAGGGTATTTCAACTATGGTATCAAACTTCAGAGGATGATTCCTTGGGTATTTTATAAATATCCTTAAATTGATTTGGTTGAAATTTGGTACAGTTATTTGAAGTAATAAGGTACTTATTTAGTCCTAACTAGATTGAAATTATTGGGTCCAGTAGCGTCTCAGTGGGCACCACAGCCAATATTATTAAAAAAAAAGTACACCACTGACCTTTTTTTGTAGTTTTTGATTTTTTTCTGATTAAGCTACTAAAATAAAACTTTTTGGTCTTTTATATTTTCTTCATAACTAGCTTAGTTTTCGAAATAAAAATATGAACATGAAACAAAAATGGTTTTTTTTATTAATATCAAAAATTAATTTCGCCCATTTGTCTTAATCTTGGTACTTACCTTTTTACCTGTTTTATTTCAAGTTAGTAATTAGATTTGACTTAATCATTTTAGGGGCGTCTTGGAAATCAACTGAGTTAAAATCTGTAACTGGTTTCAACAGGTTTACTATTTTTTCAGATTTAGAAAATAAACATTCAACTTCACTGTCTTTTATCGCATTTTTTGGCATACCACATCTGCTTTTTATAACAAATTATTACCATATCCAATCAAGTACCTGCTTTGGAGACTAGTTTACAGTGATAGTATTGTAATATCACTAAAATTCACACTTATTGTGATTCTATCATGAATACCTCTACTTATTCTAAGATGACTGATATGCACTTAATTTATGGATTAGCAAATGGAAATGGGGAAGAAGCATGGAGAATTTACCAAGACAGATATACTAAAACATTTAGAACCCTACATGCAAGATTAAGTGAAACTGGCAGTTTTAATAAAAACACAGGTGGTAGAAGACCAGAAACTTTAACAACTCCTGAACTAGAAGAAGCTATACTTCATGCGATAGAAGAAGATCCTTCAAATAGTACCAAGAAGATTGCAGTGCAGCTTGAAGTCAACCCAAAAACCGTTTGGAAAGCTCTGAAAATAAATTTCCTGTATCCATATCACAAACTCTACTGCCTCGGGATTTTCACCAAAGATTAATGTTTTGCAGGTGGTTCCTTAGAATTACCCTCGAAGTTTCGTACCGTAGTTAGGAAACACCCTGTGTATTAGGTTTATTATTGTAATCATAAAAATTTACAAAATTAAAAAAATATATTTTTTGAATAGATATTGGGTACTGATAAATTGACTAACGCCATATTTAGTTTGCAGATTCGCTTAGCAGATGGATCTAGATTACAAGGGCAATTCAATCACCAACATACAATTGCAGAAATTAGAAACTTCATTCAACATGCAAGACCGCAGTATAGAAATCAAGCATTTAATCTTTTATCTGCATACCCAGCTAAGGTTCTGGATGATGCACAAACCATTGAAGCAGCAGGACTTCTCAATGCTATCATCATGCAGAAATTAGTGTGAAATTCTCTGTTAACTTATAGCTTACTAGATATAGTTTGTTTTCATATTTAAAATGGTAACCTAATTTGTATCTAAACGAAATTTCTTAATAATAAACAGAAAAAAAAAGATTTTATTATTTATCTTAAAAGGGCATCTGTCCACCATCATTAACACGATAGTTCACTGGTATTCAAATTTGGATGTCATACACAGAAATTAAATTACTACATCCTACAATAAACCATGCAAATTAAAGAAAAATTCACATGATCTGAAGTGGGTTTCAAATCATTGACATAGTTTTCTCTAAATGCCAAGTAATTAATTGACAGGTTGGAGTAGGGAGCTAATGGAAACTTAAATTATTGTTTTAAATATAATATATAGAATATTTAGTTTTTCCTATATATTAAATTAGTGTCTGGAAAATCATTAGTGGCCACTAGTAAATTAGCTTACAAGGCTATGGTGGTCACCAGTAACTAAGGGATTTCAAAAAATATCTCCCAATTCAAGTATTTTCTGATAAGTAAATGAAACAGTGATATATTTTTTTTATTCTGTCTAGTTGATGCTGATATAATAAACAATAATTCTCTCTATTAGTGTAGATTAAATAAATCATATTTTCATTATAACTTAATTTGTATTTAAGTTTGTTTCAGAATATTTACAATTATACAAGATGTTTTCAAAATTTAATAATTCCTCATTAACAACTTCACACTCTTCTAAATTTTCAACCTTAGTTAAAATCAACTGAAATCGTTCTAATAAAGATGCCTTAATTGAATCGATATTTGTTGGAATTTCATTAATTTCTTCTGATCTGAAAACAAGTTTTTTGATTGATTTTTCTTTTTTTGTCCTGAAGTAGTCAATTAGGTCTAACAGTTTCTGTAATAGTAAAATAATTATTCTCAAACCTATGATGATACTATTTTAGATACACAACACAATCGTTCATCTAAAAATGCACGACTACTGCAGGGTTAGAAAAATATACCTTTCATTTATTGACTTTTCTTCTATTGACAATTCATTTGCTTCTTCATTATCAGAATCTGTTTCTTCTGTATATTCCCCATCTGCTTTTTCTTTACAATTTGAAGATAGTCTAAATGTCTCCAAACTATGCCCTATGTGATTTTGAAAATAGTTAATTGATATCTTTCCATTGGTTTCATTTATTGTCACATCAATTTTTGCAGGACAATGTGCATTAATTTTATTGGACCCAATTTTTTTCAGTTTTCTTAAATTATTTCCTTTGGCTCTATAAAACCCATCTCTATGGCATCTATAAAAATATTTCCATTTATCAGAATATTTCTTTTTCCTGTGTCTTATATATTTCGAACTTGACTGTTTTTCCATTTTCTGTTTCCAACTTAAAAACTCATTGAAAGAATCGAATTGTATATTAATTGTGCTGATATCATAATTATGGAATAATTTATAATGGTCAACCATTTGTTCCTTTTCACATTGATGGATACACATTGGGCATTGCCAGTAAACAATACGTTTTTTCCTGGGTTTATTTGAATGGCTGTTGGTTATGTGATTTGTTAAAGCGTCTTTAGTTATGTAATTTTTGCTACAATGTTCACACATAAACTTTTTTTCTCTGTAATGAACATTTTGAATGTGTCTCGTTAAATTAGATTTTTTCTTAAATAAAGCGGAGCACAGTTCGCATATACAACAATCATCACCCATAGTTTCCATTAAATTAATAAAAAAATCTTCTAAAAAAAAATTATGTTTGTTTATTTACAAATGGGCATTCCAACGACCTGTCAAAATGCTGACAAGTGGGAACTGAAACTGACAGTTTAGATGTGGCAACGGTGGGACTCGTGTTAATGACACATATAATTATATAGATTGCTCAAAGCAGATCGTTTGGCGAGCGGCCATATTGCCTAGTAAAGTAAGTCTTCGAGCATCGAAGCTGGTAGGTGCTATATAATTTAGATTAATTATCTATATGCTTTTTGTTAAACTGTTTTCTTTCAAATGTACTCCTGTTCTGTAATTGGGTTTAACCTGTTGAACAATGTATGAATAAATAATTAGAATCGGTTTAGCAAAAATGTGTTTTAAAACTAATTTCCAGCCTTTGAATATATATATAAAAAAAAATAACTACCTAAATTTTTACATCAAGGCATAATTCTTGGTTTATACTGATCAATCTATATAACTCTCTGTGGACTCTGTCAAATCCTCAGGTCAAATCACCAGGCCCACAGGGTTGCCATATCATAACCTGTCAAAACCCTTTGGAAATCAGAAACTGACAGATATTGGGATATTGGTGTTTTTAGCGACGTATAATAAGGTTTGTTCTGGTTCTCAAAATGAAAACTGTTTTGAAACTGCGCCGGACCGTATGCGTAAAGGCAAAAAATCCCCGACTGTTTGAAATTGTTGGAAAACCAGAACACATAAAGGTGTTTTGTTTATTGTTTATTATAATAATAAAGTTCCTTTTGAAAGCTCAGCTTCAAATAACATTTGCATGTATATTTTTATCATTATCATCACATTTCAATGGAATAAATAAAAACAGAATAATATTAAAAAATTAATAATTCTAAAATTGCTTTAATTTACAAATAAAACAGAACAAGAGACATTCGTCCACATATAAATAAATAATTTGGGATTGCATACGTTCCGTATGGTCTAAAAAGCCAATACAATTAGGCATTCCAAACTGAATGGCTACCAGTGGGTTCTGACGGGTTATGATATGGCAAAATTATGGCAACCCTGTAGGCCTGGTGATTTGACAAGGTCAATGAAATAGATAGTTACATAGATTGATCATCCATATTTTTCAAAATAAACATAAGCTTATGCCTTGAAGTAAAAATGTAAGCAATTATTTTTTTTACATATCTAAAGGCTAAAAATTGGTTTTAAAACACATTTTTGCTAAACCGATTCAAATTAATAAATATTTGCCAGGCAATATGGCCGCTCGTAAACGACCAGCTTTGAGCAATCTATATAACTATATATGTATCATTGACCCTGTTAATGACAACTTAACAGGGTTGCCATATCTAAACTGTCATTACCCACTGGTAGCCATTTGGACAGGTCGTTGGAATGCCCAATATTCATAACACTTAAAAAACGCATGCGCGGTCAAAACAGTCCGAGTCGATCCACACTCCCAAGCATGAACACATTTTGACTATTTACAACAATCACGGATTATTTCGGATACGAAACCAGAACACTGGACTGAGAGATCCGAAGTAGTCCCAGAAAAACCAAAACACTTTTTATCTACTGCGCATGAGCCCGACAGTTGTGGATCGTTATTTCTCAAAACCAGAACAGACCTATAATTTCAAACTTAAAACACATTTGTTCCGGTTTTTATCACAAATAGTCGCAAATAAACGTGTAAAGGTCAAATTCAAATTAGTCATCTGGAAAGTGTCTTATCAGTTCGTATATAATTTTTTACTTTTTCGTAAATAGTTTCTTCAAATAATAAAAAATGCCAGTAAAAAATGATGAACCTACTGGAACTGAACAGCAAACTGATCAAATTCCCAATGAAACTACAAGAGAACTAACTCAAACAGACAGACTGAACAAACGTCTTTTGGAATCCTTTCTTTCTAGAATAAATCAAACGAATTTTAATTTAAACATTGATAATGAGGATAAACACGATAAAGATTCCAATAATTTTCAATAACTAAAAATAAAAAATAACAGCTGGAGGTAACAGCTGTCAAATTCTCGAAAATAACATAACCTAACTAATATTAATAATTGGCGCGAAATTTTCGTCTACTCAATTTTTGTTAAAAAGTGCATATAATCAATTTTAAGTAAAAATAAATATATAAGTAATATGTCTTCAGATATTGAATTGATAAGTGATGATGATGGGAGAAATGGAGAGATATTAAGTGACACTCCTCTTGAAACAGAAATAATTGAAGGAGAATCTAATAACACACCTCAAGAAACTGATGAAAATAAAAAAGATTCAGAAGATGAATCTAAAAAGAAGGTGGTTAAGCCAAAAAGGATCATTAAGAATCCTCAACCTAAATTTAATGAAAACACCTTAAAAGCAGAAAAAGGTTTGCCAGCCATCAAAGATCATTTTAAAAATCTTCAATTGAAGGGTAAAGGATATGAAGAACGCGATTTAAATACTATTATGAAGTCTTATGAATATTGGTGCCATCGTCTTTATCCGAAATATACTTTTAATGATACCATTGCTAGATTGGAAGTATTGGGAAATAGAAAACCTACTCGAGTAAGTATTTAATCAATATCTAATATTTTTAAAGTAGTATAAGTGAGAGAAATAAAATATCCCTAAAATTCGGTAGATGAGATCGAAAAATCGGTAAATTGGCAATGCTGGCTAATAAGGTAAAGAGACATATCCATGCTGGAGTGTGGAACAAAGGCGGAAATTTTGGTAGACATGTTTTATGTAAAAATTCCATAACAACGTCGCCTGAACACCTGATTTGAGGGCTACAAAACTTTTAGCCCTTCAATTGTTTTTAGTAATTTGTGTGTTGGGAAGGCACTTACATATATTAAAATTTGCATTGTAGAAGCAAACTTGAACTGCATTTGACGAATAGTTGCTATTTTAGAGAATAGGGACTGTTTCATCAGTATATCTTAAAAGCAAACCAGGAACCCACAAAACTGTGGATAATTTAAATGGCCACCACTTAATTTATCTTTTTGTCCATTATTAGTTGCACCTTGACAGCTGTCAGTGAGGAACCAGATATATAAAGAGTAAGGCAGGTAGAGTTGATATATGTGGATGGTCCTGTTTGCTCTTAAGATTATATAATAAATTCATGTGAATAGTGCATTTGTTTTATGTAATTCTAAACTCATTCAATTTAAATATTGATTTAGAGCAATTTCAGGTCGACCACTAAAATATAAATGATATTTTTTTGAGATACTAATCTTTTTTTCATATAAGTATATGTGAATTATTGATCAGAATTTTTTTTTTTTTTTAGACATATTTAACAAAAATCAGGCTGGGTATGGAGTGCTCTGTAGAAGAAGAGAAAATCGTAGCAAGTGATGAAGAAATACCTACAACAGGTTTTGTAGAACCTTTTGATGACCGTTTTAATCAGCTACTGTCAACCACTGTCAATCAACCTGAACCGGAATTAACTGAAGAACAATTAGAAAAAATAAGACAGAATAAGTTGAGAGCAGAGGCACTAAGAAAAGAAAGGTTATCAAAAATTGGTCAATCTAATGAAGTAATTAATCAAAACAGCAGTGTTAATTTGAGTCAGAATCCACTCAATGATGAGCAAACTGAAATGGAAGTTGATGAGAATCAAGAAATGGATTTAGACAATATGTTAGATTTGATAAATGAAGAAGCACCTGGTACAAGTACTGCTGCAGATTCACAAAAATCTATGAATGATAAAGTTTCTAATTCAATAAGATCAGCAAGATTTAAATCTCTTCTTTATAATGAGAGCGATGATGATACTATAAATTCTCAAAATGCTTCTAATAAAAACAGCAATAATAAATCAGATGATGATGATCAGAGTAAAGAATTGGATCAGAATAGTGATGCTGGAAGTATTGTCCTTCATAAATCCAACAGTCAAAAAGAAAAAATTGCTAGAGGCCAGAAGAAATCGTTTAGAAAGAAAAGACAGAAGAAAAACAATTCAAGTGACAGTAGTAGTGATAGTGAAACAGGATCATCAAGAATTAAAGCTACTGCTAATAAAAGAAAGAAAAAAAGACTTGTTCTCGAAAGTGATGAAGACTCAGATAATGCAAAAAGTAGTATTTCTCAAATATCAAAAGATGAAAATCAACTAGGCAGTGACAAAGATTCATTAAACACTAACACTAAGAGACATTCTATTAAAACAAAGATGATAAACAAATCGATTATTCAAAGTGATGAAGATTCAAACAGTTCACATCAAATGATGAATACTAATAGCCAGAGAAATCATATTAAAAAAAAGAAGAACAAATCTACTGTCCTAAGTGATGAAGATACAGACAATTCAAAAACTAGTATTTCTCAGAGATCTAAAAGTTCAATTCAAGTAGATAGTGATAAAGAATCATTGAAAACCAACAGTCAGAGAAGTTTCATTAAAACAAAGAAGACAGGCAAATCCACTGTTCAAAGTGATGAAGATTCAGATGGTTCAAAAACTAGTATTTCTCAGAGATCTCAAAGTTCAAAACAAATAGATAGTGATAAAGAATCCTTAAAGACCAACAGTCAGGGAAGTTCCATTAAAACAAAGAAGACAAGCAAATCCACTGTTCAAAGTGATGAAGATTCAGAAACTAGTATTTCTCAGAGATCTAAAAGATCAATTCAAGTAGATAAAGAATCATTGAAAACCAATAGTCAAATAAATTCCATTAAAGCAAAAAAGCCAAGCAAATCTACTGTTCAAACTGATGGAGATTCAGATGATTCAAAATCTAGTATTTCTCAGAGATCCCAAAGTTCAAATCAAATAGATAGTGATAAAGAATCATTGAAAACCAACAGTCAGAGGAGTTCCATTAAAGCAACACATCCAAGGAAATCTACTGTTCAAACTGATGAAGATTCAGATGGTTCAAAAACTAGTCAAAGTTCAAGACAAATTGATAGTGATAAAGAATCCTTAAAGACCAACAGTCAGGGAAGTTCCATTAAAACAAAGAAGACAAGCAAATCCACTGTTCAAAGTGATGAAGATTCAGAAACTAGTATTTCTCAGAGATCTAAAAGATCAATTCAAGTAGATAAAGAATCATTGAAAACCAATAGTCAAATAAATTCCATTAAAGCAAAAAAGCCAAGCAAATCTACTGTTCAAACTGATGGAGATTCAGATGATTCAAAATCTAGTATTTCTCAGAGATCCCAAAGTTCAAATCAAATAGATAGTGATAAAGAATCATTGAAAACCAACAGTCAGAGTTCCATTATAGCAACACATCCAAGGAAATCTACTGTTCAAACTGATGAAGATTCAGATGGTTCAAAAACTAGTATTTCTCAGAGATCCCAAAGTTCAAGACAAATTGATAGTGATAAAGAATCCTTAAAGACCAACAGTCAGGGAAGTCCCATTAAAACAAAGAAGACAAGCAAATGTACTGTTCAAACTGATGAAGATTCAGATGGTTCAAAAACTAGTATTTCTCAGAGATCCCAAAGTTCAAATCAAATACATAGTAATAAAGAATCATTAAAAACCAAGAGTCAGAGGAGTTCCATTAAAGCAAAAAAGCCAAGCAAATCTACTGTTCAAACTGATGAAGATTCAGATGGTTCAAAAACTAGTATTTCTCAGAGATACAAAAGTTCAAATAGAGCAGATAGTAATAAAGACTCATTGAAGACTAATAGTCAAAGAAGTTCCATTAAGACAAAGAAAAACAAATCTGCAATCCAAAATAAAAAATATAAAGATACAAATGCAGCAGACAGTGATAAAGAATCATTCACAATTAGCTCTAGTGAAGATTCAAACGATAGCAATGTTTCAAATGATACTACACTAAAACCCAAAGATAGTGATGAAGAAGTAGTAAATAGATCATCTAAAAGTAAGATGAAACACCAGGTGGGGGATAAAACATTAAGTAACAATCAAACAACAAGCAGAGATGCAACAATATATAAATCACAAAAGAAAAATGGTAGAGTTGAAAGTGATGAAGAAAACAATGCTGATAAGATTAATATTGTCAAGGAAAAACAACGAAAACTTTTAGACAGTGATGATTCAGATGATGGCAACAAATCAGAGACATTTGGAAGACTTAAAGCTAGGAAAACTACTTTTTCAAAGAAAAAGAATGTAATAATGAGTGATGAAGATGATTAGAAATAAAGTATGTGAAGAAATTTAGTATTCAAGCATTTGCGACCAATTTGATTTCTACTTTTTTTTTATAGACTCGATTTTTATTCTAAAAGAAATTATTTTTTAAATTTGTTTATAGCATTTAGATGCGACTTTTTAATGTTCGGTTATGTTATTTTTTTAAATAAAACACTGTTAAAATTATCATATTTTTATTATTTAAATCACATTTTGTTTACTAAAGCTAATAATAAAATATTTACAATGATCAAAAGCATATTATAACATTGATTTTATGATGATTTCCATTGCAGATCTTAAAAAATTAGAAAATGATTTTTTCTCTATACATTGCAGGGGATAAACATCACATTTAAATTTTGACATAAAAGTGTTGACTTAGAGGGACTGATATAAGCAAAATAGGTTAATATCATGAAATCACGACGAAAATTCAAATTCCTGTTCAAAAATACATAAAATATTAACAGTCGGATAAACTTTGACAGAATAACACGAACTTCAAATTATTCACATTATTTTGTCAAAGTTTATTAGACTTGTAAATTTTAATGAACATTCTTGCAACCGGCTGTTAAAGAAATGTTTTTAACCGCACATATATCAGGAGTGAAGTTACAATGATTAACCTATTATCACCTTTTACTCAAAACGTTTTTTTTTTAACATCAGGTACATATCTAATATAGAACAGAACAATTTGGTAAGTAGAGTAGTATTTCACAGTCCAGAATATTCCATAGTCGCATATGACTTTATATCAAGCTTCTGATCACCTTTAGTTAATCCATTTTTTTTCTTCTTTAAAATAAACTCTAGCATATTTAAAATAACAGCATTTGCACTTACTGATAAAAAATATAATGCAAATTATTATGGTAAACTCAATCTGTTCCAAATCCAATTTATTCAATTACAACAAACCCCGGATTTTTAATATGTACAAAACAGAAACGAAACTTTAAACCCTGTGAAATTTATCAAAAGAAAAATATCAGTACGGTAATACACACAGAAAATCTTGAAAAAAATCACCAGGTCAAAATCACTAAATGGCATTCGGGATTTCTGGAATCAGCGATGCAAAGAACGTTGCAAAAAAGGTCCAAACGATCATAAACCTCGACGGTGCTGCCGCTTCTTCTTCCTGGACTTGCTCCGGCGGACCATTTATATTATTGTTATTATTATTCATATTTCTGAAAAATCCTATTTGATACAAGTAAAGGCCGATGCCCAGAAGTAAGACGAAGAGGAACCTGATCGGACTCGAGTAGAAGTAGATGACTATGAAAAGGACCGTTGCTCTTGTCAACATGTAAAATACTTCTAGCCAATCTCTTTCCGGGTTATCCGGATCTCTAGCTGCAGCCGCCGCGTCGGGTGCCGCAGGAGGTTGTTCAGCGGGGTTCGGAGGAGTCTCTGCATTATTTGGTACTCCTTGAGTTGTTGCTCCATAAGAATTTGCTGCTCTGGAAATGAAATAAAATAAAATCGTCTACTAAAATAGGTACGTTCAAAATTTTATAATGACGATGTCGATTATTTTTTAAATAGAAATGAGGGCCATGTGATACCTCTTTTGAAAGTTCTTTTAATTGTATATACAATCGTATAAATAAGGCTAAGCACAGAACATCCAGGCTAAGTAATAGACATATCTCGGTATTGATGGTCTCTATTACTCATGCGCAAATTATAATAACAATGATAAGTCCTTATTAAACAACCAGACAAAATAATAATGTACTAAATGTTTTGTAATAAATATGTAGGCACTGTGTAATCTGTTTTCTAAAATATTTGATCCGTAATATTTAGAGAAATAGGGATTTAATTTATTCCATGTAAAGAATAATGACGGCGTTAAGCAAAAAATATGAATATTGACACAATCGAACATACTTTTATTACACAGGGTGTCCCAAATTGTTTTACCCAGGCTATAACTTCTAAACTATACAAGATAATCGAACCGGACAAAAGTCCATTATAATTGGCGGTGTACTTTGAAACAAATAAAAATTTGACGACCCACCCTCAAAAACTACCCCCTGGAACAACCTCCTCAAAAATTATTAACGCCGCACTAATTTTTTTTCTACTCATTTTTGTAGTCGCTACTTTTTTTACTGTTTTTAAATCGCTCCATAAATAAGTGAGAAATTAAATAAAACTGTATGTTGATGTTAAAAAATACTTTTATTAGGTGACACATAATTAAAAAATACATTGAAACAAGAGAAGGAGAAGACAAAAAATAAATATCAACAAACAAAGAGTATAATAAGTGCTCAAATTGCCCACCTCCCACTTCCACACATTTGTTAAACCTTAACAATAAATTTCTAGTACAGGCAGCTCGAATCATGGCCGGTGTAAATCTGTTACAAGCATGTCTGATTCTATTTTTTAAATCTTCTAAGCCCTCTGGTTTTGTTTCGTCCTTTATAGTACCCTTAGATTAAAGAGACCGAAGCGGTAACATTGCACACTGCCCAAAGTAACCCACCAATTGAAAATCATTGTTTGCACCCGAATTGCTCCGATTTTTCCATTCAACGATCACCTCCGCCCGGGTTCAATCACCATTGACAGCTGTTTTTTTATTTATTTGTTGGTATTTTAGCAATTTAAAGTTCAAAATGCCACGATGTATCTTGAAAAATTTTATATACTTATAATACAATTACCAGTGTTATGAAAGATACAAACTATATTGGTTTTCAGCGGTAAATATTTATTAACGTTTTGACATAAAGCGCCATGATCCCTCTGTGCTGAATACTTCAGATCCGCATTAAGGGGTTTCAATAAATATTAAGCATCAAATACATATTTCAGAAATCAGATTTTATATTACATAAATTTATAAAAGGGTAAAATTTTAAACATTTAATTTAAATAAGAAGTAAACAGGCATTGTTGCTAACGAAATTTTGTATTTAAAAAGTAGGTTTTATAAGCATGTTTACTAAAGGTGGTTTTTAGCCCTTTTTGGTAGATAAATAAGAAGTAAAGACGCAAGGTTGCTAGCTAAATTTTATTTTTATAAGGTATTTTTATAAGAATATTAGATGAAATACAGGATGACCTACTTAAAATTTCAAGGTTCATCTTATTTGCGGTCAAATCAAAAGTGGCATTTGAATCTTCAGTCTTAAAACAAAGTAAAACGCACCATATGATCTAGTATAAGCAAAAAAATACCAAAGTTACGGGAGTTAGTCACATTGTTAATAAAATGTTACATTATAAACCCCTAAACAACTCGAACAAAATTTTTGTTTATTTAAAAAATCCAAATTTTAGCAATATTTATTATTATACAATCGAATGCGGTTTCAAAGATAAGGGGATCAAAAAATCCGATCCGATTTTAGAGATTTTTTATGTATTGACATAATTTACTTCTGTAGAATATAAAGTTCTTAAAACAGCAAATACATATGATTGAATTATATAAACTGCTGTTTCTAAGGTTAAAAGAAGGATTTGTGTGATAATTAAAAAATTAAGTATAATAATTGAAAGTATTGGCCCTGTATTTCCTAGTAAAGTTATAAGTAGATGACCTGCAATTATATTTGCTCATAGTCGAATTGCTAAAGTCCCGGGCCGAATAACATTACTAATTGTTTCAATACAAAATCTCTAAATTTTGGAGCTAAATGCTCGGATAAAAGCAAGCGACCGATAGCGGTTACAAAAATAATCGATTTATCGATTATTCTGATATTTTTTTATGTAAATCGATTTATCGGTTATTTTTAATAAATTATTTTCGTTTTTTTAAGATAATGTATTAATCGATTTTAAAGGAAATACAAAAAGAAAGTAGATTTATTCAAAATAATCGATTGATTGAAAAACATCGATTTTTTTTTAAAAATCAATTTATTGTTTAATCGGTTTTTTTAATTATTCGATTATTTTCGATTTTTCAAAGATATTATATGAAAATAATCGATTGATCGAATATAATCGGTTATTTTATATAACCGATATTTTGGTTATTTTTTTAAAATTATCGATTTCTCGATTAATCAGCTTTTTAATAATCGATTATTTTCGATAATCAAATAATCAATTTTAAAGGAAATAAAAAAAAGAGGATTATTAGAAAATAATTGATAATTCGGTTATTTTTTGGAAAATCGATTTATCGGTTAATTGGCCTTTTAATTAATCGATTATTTTTGATTTTTCAAAGATAATCAAGCAGTCGATTTTAAAGCAAATACGACAAAAAATATATTGTTTGAAAATAATCGATTGATCGAAAATAATCGATTATTTTCAATGATCGATAATTTATTTCGATAATCGCCCACCCCTAGCGACCAAATGACTTTAAATAGATTTAAATTTTAAAATGTTATATGGTTTCAGACATATGCATTTCTAGAGTTTTATGTGACTCATCCTCTATATTAATTAATATTCCTAAAGAAAGAAGCTGAGGTTACAATAAAAAACAGCATAATACTCGTAGACAATGAGTACCATAAATAAATCTAATAGTTCATTATGATGCTAATAAACAAAGTCCGGTCCCTGTCACAGAGTTCGGGTCGCCGCCCAGTTCCCCCACTCCGTTAACCTTTCTTTAGAAATTGGCAACATTTGTGCAGGTTAAACACCGGTGTATGTTATAATCTGGTCTCTTTTATCTAAGGTTCTATCTAAGAATTATTCAAGAAAATCAAACCCGCAAGTCAATCTGAACTTTTGTTCTAGAGTTATCGTGCCGGCATACAGGCGAATTTTTTTTTGTATTTTCGGACTGAGAATGTTTGGAAACGTGAAAAAAAGTTTTAAAAAATGGGGATATGAACATTTTTTCGTCTACACAAATGCAATACTGAGGCACCATATAGGAAGGGCCTCAGTAATAGTCCTTATTAAACAACCAGACAAAATATTAATGCATAAAAAAAGGTTAAAAATTACCTTCAGAAAAATTAAATTAATGTTTCGTAATAAATATGTAGGCACTGTAAAATATTTGATTCGTAATTGGAGAAATACGGATCTGATTTATTCCATGTAAAGAATAATTGAATAAAAAACAAATCAAAAAAGCCGGTCAATGGTGATTCAACATAGGCAGAGATGAGTGTAAAATAGTATTTCATAGCAATTCTAGTGATATCCCCAAAAAATACTGATTTTCAATCGGTGGGTTATTGGAGGTTGAAATTCGTGTTTTATTTATTTTTTTCGTCGGGCTCGTCTGACTTAGACTCCGACAACACTGAAGTGTTTTATTCATAATTGTATATAAAATTTCCATTTCTTCGAATTTACAAATAGACCTTTTCATCACAATTTTTTTTTGTGCGCATGCGTCAGTTTCAGCCAACTTTTTCGTACTGTTTTTGTAAACAAGTATGTTAAAATGCTTACGTGAAAAAAATTATAATTGATAAATATTAATTTAAGTCTATATTCATTTAAAAAAAGGAAGAAAAAAGTAAAGTAATAATAAGTTTAGTGTCTTAATTGAAAAATACATTTTCACAATTAATTATAATTATGTTATCTGTACGGAAAGGAATAACAAAACAGTGTTGTTATGTAAAAGTGACACACGGTATAAATCATTCAAAGGCAATAGATATTATTTTATAAATTTTCCAAAGCCTTAACTGCAATATCGTAAACAATTATCAGGCAAAATCCATATTAAAAGATATTCGAAATGTGCATTAAGTGTGAAAAAATATGGTCGAAGTGACAACGGTTTTCGATGGATTAATGATGTTACTAAAGATACTTATGTTTCACTGCATTTTCATGGAGAAAGTGGTCCAACAGAAGAAAATTCTCATGTGGTATTAAACAATATTTTTTTAATATTAAATAATACTTCGGTATACACATTAAATGATTAAAAATGTCATGTTGATCCTCAAAATAATAAATTATTTATTTTATTAATTATACTCGTGATTCACTTTCATGCTAATTAAAGTGTTTTTGCAAGTAGTAATAGTTGGTTGGCATAATTAATTAGAATAAAGTTATAATTATTATTTGTTTTCATTAATTTTTTACAGAGTTAAAAAGTATTGATACACCTAACCTCTCAATTAGTCCACTTTGTTCCTTTGTAACAAACATCCAAGACACTTCAACCTCCTTTTCAACTGCTCACAACTATGCGCTTCCACAGAGTTATAAAAAAGTTATTCACTATCAACGATTTTTTCTAATGATTAATTTTTCTGTAGAGATAACATTGCTTTCCCAGCCATTGTCGATCAAAACAGTACGAAACTTTTGAATTACCGCTATTTCAACATGGTGGCTGCGCTTGCGCTCATCACATGATGAAAAGGTCTATTCAAAAACGATAAAACTTCAAAATTATTGACAGCTGATAGCAAAAAAGTCAGAATCGCATAACAAAACAACCAAATATGTCAAATGTATCCAATAGATCGTGGCAACAATGGACACTAATTTCCTCCAAATATTATTATCCCTTACATTCAAGAAAAAAGGTTTTGATTCACCGGTGACCAAAAGTGAAGATGTGATTGATCA